TTCTGACTCAGTTTCCTTTGTCGGGGCAATAAGGAGCTGCTCAAATGTCATGAGCTGTCAGGCTTGCTCATCTTTCCAGTCTTATCTTGAAAGAGAGCGAAGGGAACAAGATTGTTGGAGAAAATAGAAGCCATAGTTATCAGCAGTTGCTCAAAGCAACCAGCAGTTTTCTAACACAGAACAGCAATCGAAGGGTTCAGTTGTCGCTTACATTACCTTTACATTTTAATGAAAGGATCTCTCCATGAATTTTTGTCTTTCCTTCAGAAGGAAACTATGATTTCTCTGTAATCACCTTCATGCACTTCAACTACAAGCCCATATATGTTCTGTACAGTGTATGGTAATACATTTTCTCATTGTGCTGCATGCTCATATGAAACATTATGAAGACTGCCAGTTTTAATTGACAGTGTGCTTTGTGGAGGGTTTTTGAAGGCTCTGAACTATGCTTTTTGAGTATATTGTTCATTCTCGCTCTGTTCATTCTGTGGCAGATAAAAGTAGAGACTCAGTAATGGACCATTAGCATTGTGCCGGATCTGTCTCTTACGCAGTCATCATTACCGAACCACATTAGACATGGAAACTAGTACAGAGAAAATCCATTTTGCAAGAGTCTGGCATGGCCCACTGAATTCCCTCTGAAAAGGCTATCTGTAGTTACAGTGCTGTGGGTGCTTCTGGTAGATATCTGCATTCAGTAGATTTATGCTCTCTTGGTGGAGGTGCATAGTCTGCACCAGTGAGGTAGGCTCTCTTATCTGTGTACTCAGACCAGATGAGGAAAAAAAAAAAAGTACTTGGCGTAACTTTACAGCTACGCTCAATGGGGAACACAGCAAAGGATTATGGAGTTAGCAACAGAAGATAAAAGTTTAAGTTGCGCGGCTTTAATCAGAACTTTAATGCTACTTCAATTAGTTTAAATTTCAGAAACAGTTTTGACTTCCGTTGGATATTAAGATGAATGCTTCGCTATGCATGTCTTTGTCTTGACTGTTTTGCGTATTGGTTACCCAGATTTATTATGCAGATCTAGAGTAACCTTCCTCGTTAAGCCTTAATGCCAGCCATTCATTACCTCTGGCACAGAGACTAATGACACTATTAATCAGCTATGAATAGAGCCTTGCAGCGGAAGTGGGAGGCTGACACCTTCTTACTGTAACAATTCTAGCCATGCATGTACAAGACAGATTGTCGGAAAGGACATAGAAGGCTGCCCAGTATGTCAATTACCTACAGCTGACAAGTCTGAAGATGGAAACTACATCTAATAGTCCGTCTCTCCCCCCCCCTTTGCCTATCCCACAATGCATTTCTCTCCAGGCTTTTACTGTATCTCTTTGTCTGACCTGACACTGATTTCTGGATTATGGATTGTATTTGCTTCAATTTATTTGCGGCAGTTGCTCAGTGTGTAGGGACTTGGCTTGGGAACCGGAGGGTCGCCTGTTCAAATCCCGCAGACCACAATATGGAGAGTGGCTGGTAGCTGGACAGGTGTCAGTTTCATCTCCTGTGCAAGGCAACCTAACCCTGCTCATGGGCACCGCTAATGTGGCAAGCCCATCACTCCACCATCTCTCTCCCTGTTGCATGTGCAGGTGTACTGTGTGTGTGTGTGTGTGTGTGTGTGTGTGTGTGTGTGAATAAAAAAGAGTGAAAAGAAGAATTTCCCCAATAGGGGATTAATAAAGTATATATCTTCTTCAAAAAAAAAAGGAGAGACATCCAGCCTCTTATCTCCGTTCACTCAGGGTACTGATGGACAAATATACTCAAAGAAGTGACCAGTGTGTCTGTGAGGTGTGTGCCATTTGAAGAAACCCCCCTGTGACTCTATAGCAGCACTCAAGCTTTATCCGTTTTCTTTTTCTCACTGAACAGTGCACTAAAATGACTCCTCTGCTACAGTACATAATGCCTGTAGCAACGGGAAATAAAGTTGGGGTTTCTTTCTAAATATGTCTACAAATGCATGTCTAAAAGCTTGGCTCAACTTCTGTCTCAAACAACAAGCGATGGCTCAACTCCAGATGTTGCAAAACTGACTAACATGAAACATATCTTGGACACATGGGATTCTGTCCTACTTTTCTAGTTTAGTATTTCAAACTGTTTACTCATTCATGAGATAGAAAACAGGATTTGAAGGGAAATCTGGGTTTTTGCTGTTTACTTAATGTGGTAATATCTAATTTTTTTTACATATCATCCTTTTTTATTTATTTTTGCTGAATTTGCCTGCAACAATGTTATGTAACCTTCATTTTAAAGAGGCAATAACTGATTTACTATGGATCTTTTTACCTTCTGACTGCGTTTTACCGATACCTATCTGCCAAATGAATGCTGAAATTAATCATTTAGAACATTTGATTAAAATGATTAATTCTGTCAGTCTTGTTAGTTTAGTTTTTTTTTTTTTTTACAGCAGATGTTCAGTAGTAAACAAGCAGAAGTCACTCAGTGTTATATCCATTTTAGGAGCCTTTCATCACATGAAGGCCACACCAGTGCTCACTTTTACTTTCCACTGAGAGTCTATTTTCTCTTTTTTGAAACAATTCATTCATTCAGACTCTCCTCTTATATGTACATACAGTTTGAGTATTTTTTACACAGTCTGGACGCAGCTGCCTGGTTATAGATTTAACAGTTAGTTAGTTATAGTTTGGGTCAGCTGATCCAAGCTAAAGTAGCTGGATTTCTTTATATATTTTGACTGCAGTTATGGATATCTTTCTTTTTTCCTTTATCTCCCACTTATTTTTCCTGTCTGTAAACCCTTTCCAACATTAGATTTCAGTAATCTGCCTTAGTTTGTTTTGTCTTTGTTTTTGCACTGTTACATCTAATAGAAGTGGACCTTTGTCTCCATTGCCGAGGGGAATTAGAATATGCTGTGTATCCTCACCACATATAAGCTTTTGTTTATCCTGTCACGCTGCTTATGGTTATGTTGTGATAACCCCATCACTGGTGTGACGTGTGTGTGTGTGTGTGTGTGTGTGTGTGTGTGTGTGTGTGTGTGTGTGTGTGTGTGTCGTTTTAAACGAGGATAATTGTTCAGCATCTGGTAATTTACACTGCAGTCAGAAAGTATTAGGACGATGATATGTTTTCCTTTTATTTTTGGCCGTATTCCAGCCAACTGGATGTGAAATGAAACCGTGGCTTTGAGGTTAAAGTGCTGACTTCCAGCTTTCAAGTTGTTTGTGGTTGTCGGCGTCCATAATGGATTGAGGTATAGTACTTTTTATACATTAATCCCCCAGTTCTTTACTATACAGGCAAGGCAACTAATGGGTTAAAGGCCCAACCAGTGGAAAATGTTGACCGGCCACATCAGTCACCTGAACTCAATCCATCTGAGCATGTGTCTTACTTGCTGAAGTCCAAACTGAAGGAAAGCAATTCCCCTAGAAACAGCTAGAAGTGAGGATATCGAGTGTCTGCTAACGCCTCTGAGTTGTAGCCTCAGCTAGTCATCGACTTTTGCAACAAAAGGTTATATGTGATTAACAGTTTTTTAGTATTTTTTGTTTTGTGTCAAAGAATCTGAAATTAAAGATTATAGTCAGCACTTTAACCTCATAATCACTGTTTTCATTTCTAGGTGAAAAGTTCCACTGGCCAAAGACTGAGTGTACTCTGTGTGCACATACACACAAACACTAATGTGTAAGCCAGTAATGTAAACATAAAGCTCCTTCAGGGGTTTGTGCAGATGCAGAAAGTCAGTTCTTGATAAACGCCTTGATCTTAGTGTGTGTGTGAGTTGAAAGAGTGTGTGTTGATGTAGAGAAAACTGTGTGTGGACCATGTCATTCTCTGGAAGAAATAAAAGCGGCAAATCCCTCATATCACTCCAATCACAAAACTCAGTGAACTCTGGGAATTTGAAATGTAAACAAATATTGAAAGCCAGGTTAGCGGTTAGTCCACACGCCATGACAGACAAATATGCCAGCAGCTGCTTTGCATTTCAAAACAATTTCTCCAGTTATAATACACCGTTTGCACACTAGACTTTGCCGTGCTCCTTTTCTGTATTTCAGCTTTGCCCTCCAGTCACTTTCCTTGACCTGCAAACAAATGGAAATGTCATACAGACTGACATTCTTTCCGTATGGTTTCGTTTCGCCCACTTGCCAGGCAAATGGAAAGCAGATCTCGCTGAGTCTGACCGCAGATTGTTCCTCCAAAGAAGAAGACAAAAAAAACAAAAAAAACACCAAATGAAATCACCAACATTTCTGTGGCTGGGCTGTGGAATGTGACAAAAGCGTTAAAAAAAAACATCATCTGGTGTGTCAGTTGAGAGAATCTAGACTTTTGAATCACCTTCTTGGGGGGGTAGGGTTAGTCTTCAGTTGTTTGACTGAAAAAATTAATTCTCTGAACACGCGGACGGTTTTCTTGTGTGCATTTGAGAGGCTAGAAGGTGGCTTTGTCCCTGTCAAAACAAAGCCTACCTATTTTTTTTTAAATCCAATGCTGGCCCATTTTTAGTTCATAAAAATGTCATAAAAATGCAAACCAATCATTGTTAACGACAAATGATTGGCGGGAAGACCGTCTGTTACAAATGAACTGTATGATGCTATGTTCTGCTCCCACAACCCTTACATTAGAGAGCTGTGTGTAGATCTGCATGTGTAGTCCCCCCTTGTATTGTGCTTGTATATGTCAGCTTTGTGAATGTAGTAGAAGTGTTTTATTTCTGTGGTTCTTTGTCACACCAAAAGTCTTTTTTTGTTACGTTGTTGTTATTTTGTTTTTTCTTCTTTTTTTTGTTTCCTTCCTTTCTTTCGTTTCACTGTCATTTCCATTTCAACTCCTTTCCTCTCCTCGACCTGTTCCTTCCGAACGCCTCTGCGTGATATTTCCCTCATCCCCTCCCACGCTGCCGCTGTCTCCTGCCCCTCCCTGTCTCCCTACACCCATCCTGCCATCCCTCCCTCCTCCTTCCTCCTCCTCCCAACCCAAAGACGTAGCCCTGCCCTCTTTCCCTCCCCCTTCACTGACTCCTAACACTACTGACCATGTAACGCCAGGCTCCGGAGGCGTAGCCAGTCCAGCAGGGCCCACCCCCTCTGGTCCCCGAGACGTCGTGGCTTCGTTGGTTTCCACTCGCTTCATCAAGCTGACCTGGCGCCCGCCGGCCGAACCCCACGGAGACGAGTTAACCTACTCTGTTTTCTACAGCCAGGAGGGCACTAGCAGGTAGTACACACGTTGAGCTGTACTGTGCTACTGCCAGGAAGGTTCTAATACACACATTACTGCTGGAGTCAGCAGGGTACTAATATACATACATTCCTGTGCAGGAGTCTCACACCACTCTGAAGATATCTAATTAAAGCAGTTAAAGCATTTATCATAGTGTTTATTAATTAAAAACCAACTTCTTTCCTCAAAGGTTTGCCTTTTAACATTGAAGTATAAACAAAAATAATAAATAAATCAGTTCAAACACTGTATTTAAGTAGACCTGTGATAATTTCTTCTTCAGCTTCTTATGTAGAGGATTTACTGTATATGACTGAGAAGTAAATTTAAGAAGCTGAGAGGATTTTCCACAATTCCTCTTTAGCTTTTTGGCTGCTTTTTAAGTTATCTGTAAAATAGCTTTGAGCAAGTTTCAGAAGTGTCCTTATACAAAGGTGTTTTACTCTGTGCTAGAGCATTAGGTGCAAATGCATACATTACTATATGTGCAAATGCTTGGAGCATAGAAATAATATTTACACAAACCAGTTATTTTGTCTGGAACTAACTGTCCTTGTTCTGCTGTAGACAGATGAGTGCTAGTACGCAAGTCAGTTACTTGATTAGTTGATAGAAAATGTGTAATTTCGGTCATACATCAATCAAAATTTCACATTCAAACATGGTCACACATCACTGGTTGCAGCTTCTCAAATGTGAGGTTTTTAAGCTTTTTGCCGTTTTTTGTCATTGTTGATTGAATATCTTTTGAGTTTTGGTCCAATGCAAATCAAACAAAACTGACACTATATTCTCTTTGTGTGTCTGTGTGTCAACATCAGGGAGCGAGTAGTGAATACCAGCCGTCCGGGCGAGATGCAGGTCACCATCCAGAACCTCATGCCAGACACCAAATATCGCTTCAGGGTTGTGGCCCACAACAGCAACGGCCAGGGAGAGAGCTCTGCAGCACTCAAAGTGGCCACCCAGGCTGAAGGTAAAGACACACACACACACACACACACACACACACACACACACACACACACACACACACACACACACACACACACACACACACACACACACACACACACACACATTCATTTATATGTACTCAGTAAACAGGACACATAAACATAAAGGCGAATTCCAGCCAGTTTGTTGGAAACATGCTCACACTGGCACACTGAGGCAAACAGGATGCACTCAAAAGGAGCACACAGAAGTGCAAATAAACATTCACACAAACAAATATTCACTCACATACAGCCTATGCTCACTTCAAACAGAGACAACCCCTCTCACCCACCCCCCCACCCCATCCCACACTCACTCACACACACACACACACACACACTCACACACACACACTCACACACACATAGAGGAGGCTGTTTCGTGCTGTGCGTTAAGTCAGACCACCCAACAGCAGACCAGAGAAATGCAGTGTTTTCTTCTTATAAGCCACTTCTTGTTTACCCCCCAACATTTACTATAAGCTCTCTGTGTGTGTGCGTGTGTTTCTTTAAACCATGCTTACTTGAGTAAGCAATGTCTGAAATTAGTATTCCAGATTTTTTCCCTCATCCAGTCTTTACAGAGATGCTATACAGACACTCATTAGGATGTTTTGACTGGAGGACACCAGAATTATTGAAGGGGACAAAGAGGTTCTCCTCTTCGTATTTTCTCTTTGTGTTTGAGTGCGTAAGCCTCCCCCATAGCCGCTGCCCGAAATCACTCACTTTCACCCGTGTTTGAAAGTACTGTGAAGGGGATTTCCCAGCACACTGTCAAGGTGGACGTCCCTCACCTCCACTCTCGGCTACAGCTCAGTCATTGTCACTTTGTAGGTCAGCCGCCGTTTTTCTACCTGTGTCCTTGGTTGGAGGGCGGGTGGATCGACACACACAAACACACACACTACACCTTAATGCCTGCCAGCAGGCGCCTAGCCACCCATGGGGATAACAGTGAGGGCGGGCTGTACCTGTGTAGTATATTTCTGTCGTGTGTGTGCACTTTTAGTGTAAGAACATGCTATGAATTGGAGCTTAAACTGTTGACCTGCGTCTGAGTGCTAGGCATGTGCACACAACGCTGCCCCATATCACGTCTCCTCAGAGACTGGCTTAATACACCTGCACACATACCTCTAACATCCGTGCACGCTGTCACATGGGAGCTTCTCTCTTCTGTCAGCAGCACCTGCAGCTAAAGCTTATAAGATATATACAGTAGAGACATATATCTGTGTCCGACAGCCGGCACTTTAACCTCATAGTCATTGTTCCATTTTAAATCCAATACAGTCTCTGTACATCCATGTGCAGAGACAACAAGAAATGTCGCCGTCTTTATATTTACTGACACAGAGCGTCCTGTATAAAGCAGAGTCACAAATTATTAGGGCAGTGATACTTATTTTGTTATGTTAGCTCTGTCTTCCAGCACAGCATATGAAATATGTACTTAGAGGTTAAAGTGCTGACTGTCAGCTTTAATTTAAGTATGTTTACATTTACGTCAAATGAACAGTGTAGTAATAGGAGCTATATTTATCCATAGTCCCCTATTGTCAGCGGGTATAAAGTAATCCGACAACTTCACATAAACTTGCATCTATATGTTTATGTCCATGTTCGCATTTGTTAAGGTTTTACACACTTGTGCCTTTCTCTCTTCTATTTATCTTTACAAAAAATACAGCCGTCTCGAGCTGATACGTAGACACATTGTAATACATCCTGCTCTATATCTTGACTAACCAGACGTAATAAAATGAACTGTCTACCACACTGAATATAAGCTAGAGGCAAATGTTGGGTGGAATGCAAGATGCGCATTGATGCTTTTGTTAAGGCACACCTTTAGTTCGTTTGTCAGGGAGTAACAGTAGAATCACCATGACTGGCAGCCCAGTCCAGAGGAGACAGGTTGGTCTCCACAGAGCTGCAGCGACTGAGTCGTCTAGTGGTCTCTTGCTATCACGTGGGAAATGTGTCTTTGAAGTAGCCAAGAATGTGTGTTTGGCAGCAATAAATGGACATTGCTAAACCGAGTTCCTGTCTTCCAGAATGTAACAAAATGCACCAAAAGTGGAGAAGGTTGAAGATAAGAGAAGTAAATAGGTTTGATGGTTTTCTAATCTCTGCTCACCTTCTGCTTTGTTTGTTCACCAGTCCAAGTGCCGGGCCCTGCTCCTAACCTGCAGGCGGTGTCGAACATGCCAACCTCGGTGTCTCTGAGTTGGGACAAACCTGTCACTGGCAACGGAGAGATCCTCACCTACAAGTTGTACTACACAGACAAAGGCGTTGGCACCGAACAGGTAGGAGGCAGCAGACAATACGACGTCACCTTGAATTTATGATATCCAAACAGGTTTTAGTGTCAGTCGCTCCAGAATGAAATGCTTTTTTAGCTTTAGCTTTCATTGTAGATCACCTTTTTGAAGTTAACTTTCACACAGAACAACAGGTAATAAAAAGCTTGATATTAAACACATTAAAAATTCATTATTCAAAAATGAAATAAACAAATAAATTGAGTAAAATCTGGATATGCTTTCAGATGAATGTACATTTTTATTAAAAGAAGAGTCTTAACATTTCCTGCATTTTAATGTTTCCTTGTGTGTTTTTTCCTTTTTATTGATTTATTATTTAAGTCACTAGAAATGAATTATTCTACAACTAGTTCTATCCAGACTTTGTCTTGTAAGAGGAGAAGTACTGTATGTAGCTTATACTTTATATTTTGCAGAGTGCATTAGATACAGAAAAGAGGATATGACTGTATAGTTGAATGTAAATTGTGATGAGCTAAGGAGTTCCTAATCATTTGCCAAAGACTTGTTGTACTGCTTTTTGGCTGTTTTGACACTCTTTCTTGATTGCGCATCTCACATGTTGTGCAAAATGAAAGCAGATACGATTCACCCAGTTCTCTGCAGGTCTAACTCTGTCACAAGAGTGGAATCTAGTTGGTTAGATATTGAGTCAGCCCCAGCAGTAGCAGTGTGCAAGCCAGTGAGGCATTAAAAAGCCTTTAATATGATAATGGATGAAACGTCAGCCAGCGCACTGAGTAATGATGCCTCAGCTCCAGGGAGAGGAGAGCCAGAGATGAGGTGAAGAAGGCAAGAGATGAAGAGAGGGATGAAAAGAAGGAAAGAAGAGGTGAAGGCAAGGGACAGAACAGAGATGAAGTTAGAAAGATACAGTGTTGAAAGGACATGAGATATTAAAGGGCAGAGAAGTCAGGGACAACCTTTGATGCATCTTAAAGGGTGACGTGGTGACAGCCGATCATCTGACCCGGGTTCAGAGAGTGTGATTGGACCGCTCAGGAAAGCGAGATTAGATTTCCGCGAAGTCTCCGCTTTTTACTCAAAATGTCAGAAGCTAAGAGCTGAATGCAAATTGGCTCGGAGTAATTGGGCGTGTGCCAGTGTGCCCAATTTGTAAAGCAAAAAGTCGTAATCACAGAAAGCATAATTTGTGTCTCAGTGGAAAATGCCATTTTTTTTACTCAGAATTACAAATAGAAATGTTAGTCTGATGAAATGATGACAGCAGCTTTGCCATATTTGAGAGATTGCTTATTTACACCATCTTTAAGCCAGTATAAAAGTTGAACACTAAAAGCAGTAATATTTTTGCATTTATCAACATGCTGTCAGTAGTGAAATACTAATCCATTGGTTTTCCATTTGTTTAATTTTAACCTTGTATTTACATGTTGAATTGTGAGCAAGCATATTTTCCAGTTCATAAAAAAAGAAAAGAAGGAATATCTTTTAGGGGTGTAAGAAAATATTAAAAAATGTCACATCGCGATAATTTCTTTGGTGATATTGTATTGAACGAGATGCAACTCTCTTCTTCCCTCCCTCTCTTTCAGGACGTTGACGTCGACAGTCAGTCATATACCATGACCGGGCTGAAGAAGAACACAGAGTACAGTTTCCGTGTGGTGGCCAACAACAAGCACGGTCCAGGTGTCTCCACTGAGGACATTGTAGTTCGCACCCTGTCTGACGGTCAGTTGTTTGATGAAGAGAAAATCTACCAACACTGCTGAAGCCTTCATTCATTTTAACTTCACTGTATGTGTGTGTAAAATGTTATGGATGGATGTAAAACAGAGTCATCTACAGTGTGCTCTAATTATAGATCCAGCAAGACACTTTTTTTTTTGTTGTTTTTTTTGCTTTGGGACTAGCCCAAGGTGACAATATCAAATAGCTGCTCCAAATCCTAAAATATTCACTTTACATAAAGCAAAGAAAAGCAGCAAATACTTGCTGGAAACAGGACATGGCCCGTATTTTACTTCTGTCAATTGAATTATTGATTAATCAGCTAATCGTTTCAGCTCTACAGTAAATCCTATTTTTCGGTTTTGTTTCACACTTAAAATAAATTCTCTTTTTTCTTCACAGTACCAAGTGCTCCCCCTCAAAACCTCACCCTGGAGGCCCAGAACTCAAAGGTAATACTTTGTTGCCTTGAACTCAACTGGACCTTTAACTGGTCTGGATTATTGATTTGTCTAATTGAGGGATTAAAAGCTTTCACATTTGTTGCACTCACTTTCTCAGATGATGCAACATACATACAGACAAACAGCATGCCAGCCTCACTGTTCAGTTTGCAGTGTATGTAGCCTCTTCACCAAATCCACAAACACTCACAGCACAGAAATGCTTGAACAAATACATAGCCTGCAGTCCAGAACACCTTTGTTTCTCTGTGTGATTAGCTTTGTCAGGGGCCCGTAGCCCCAGCTGTTTAAGAGGGTGTGTGAACCCTCATCGATCCTCTCATCGGCAGGAGACTCGCCTCTCAAAAGGTTTTATCCTCGGTATCACTCTCCATCTATACAGTGTCTGGCAAAAAAGCCTGCAGGTCAGATATGCAAGGATACAAAAAAATATGAGCCTGGGAGATGTAGGCACACTAAAAATAATCCTGAAGAAAATAAAATAACGGTATCAGTATCCAAGGAACGATTGATTTGGTGATTTTCAGGTCTAAAGGAGTTTAGACAACTTTTACATTGCCGTATTTCAACAAAAAGGTAGGTTCTTCTTCAAACTGAAACACATTTAAGAAAATGTTTACTTTTCAACTTAACTTAATTAGCCCAAATTATTAATTAACAAAAATGTCTAGATGTCTTTTGACCTGTAAAATAAATGCTTATTGGGACATTATATGCAAAGCTACCCTGCTAACAGCCATTTCACCCTGTTGGTTAGCATATTCTTTTTACTTGACAGGATAAATAGACATAAGTGTTTGAAAGTGGGATTTCTTTTATCTGGATTGGATTTCTCTTCAGAGATAACTGGATCAAATTTCTCACAGTCCAAGGCGTCAACTCCTGGTGTCTCACACACTTTTTAAGTGTCATTGTTAAATCAGATTTATTACAGATACTGTGGTGGTTTGCGTGACACTCTTGATTAGATAAGGCTGCTAAGGTGGCTGCAGGCTTCACAACAGGGTCCTGATTAAAACAGGAAACTGGCCTTAGCTGTCTATCTGTTTAACCATTTGATCTTCAAACAGAGAGCTGTAGGCATGTTTATTGTACATTTCCACCCGAGTGATGGATTAAATTTGATAAAAGATGTTTCTCACTTGGGACACGTGAGACAGCAAGTGCAAACAGAGAACGGCAAAGAAAAGAAGATACGGAAAAACCTCAGGGTGCGTGCATTGACTACAAAAGCAGCAGCCAGCGCTTTTAGCCCTTTGCTGGTCGATGCACAGCCCGAGTGAGAGAGAACTGTCAAAGCAAACTAGGAAAAAAAAAACGGGTAGACAATCCTATCACACACTCCCAGCTTGAGTGAGAACTGGCCACCCATGCTGAGGGATACTCAGCTGAGATTTGTGGAGAGAAAACACTCTTATGCTAATGTTAAGAGTGAAATGAAGAGGGGACACTCTGTGGAAAGGACAGAAATTGTAGCAGAATTGTTTTTGAATGGATAGCGGTACATCCAGCTGTCCCTCCCCAATTAGGCCCGGGCCAACCAATTTACAAAAACAATGGAATAAACATCTGGCATCCTTTATTCCTAAACATTATTGAAATTAGTCAATTATTTTTTTCTTTGTTGTCATTGTGCTTAATTCTGAATGTAAACAGTCATTAAGTCAATAATTCTGGTACAAGTATATAGATACAAAGCATTTATACAATTAGCTGGTTGATACGCCCAACCAAATGGAACTGGGGGAAAAAAACCTAATTAACATGCATTTCATATTCAGTCTCGTCTTTGGGCCTTGTCAAGCAGAACCTTGCATCTTTTACCTGTAAGGCAACCTGAAAATCATGTTTTTATGATCTTATTTTGCACCTTTTTTATTCCTTTTGGCATCTGCCATCTCACCTTCCCCTGCGAGTTTCCAAAAGTCAATTAAACAGGTTTTCATGATTAGGGAGAAGAAGGGAGAAAAGCAACACACATAACGAGTCAGGACCGATAGTGTAATAAGAAAAATGGAATAATTGAACACACTTAACACAAATTTAATTTGTGCAATTCCCTTGACTCTGCTGGGGAGGAGCGTGTGCGTGCCCTCGACATGTATTCAGGCTTTTGTGCATCAGTGTGACAGTGGGGAAGCGTTAATTAACTCTTCTCCCACGCTGGGCTACCCCCCACCTATCTCTTTTAAACACACACACACAAAAACTCCGATGCATGAATCCCACAACAGTGCAGCATGGACCCGCCAGCAAAGAGTCCTGCATTCATCTCTTTGCCTCGGTGTCTCTGCAGGGTTAACCTGTCCACACCCTCACACGTGCAACCCCCCGCTCATCAGGACACCACCTTCTATTATTCATGTGTTTATTTCTTCCTAATGCGTCAATCTGCACTGTGTCGCCCATGCTCAGAGGGGTGTTTGTTCTTGCGGGGCCCTCCCATTTGCACCACTGTCAGGTTGAAGGGAGGGGCAGGCAAGACGGTGTTTCTGGCGAACAGAACAGTAAACCTGCAGAGTTACGTTAACGCAGACGCGTCTGCCAAGGTGTGTGGAAAGGTGTGATGCTACCTGCTAAACTATGAGGTCACCTTTACAGCTGCAGGCCCAACAGCAGATGGTCCCACATGTGCTAAGCGTAGGGTTTTCTTTTCCCCATCTAACATCACTTTCCCCCCTCAGAGCATCATGCTTCAGTGGCAGCCCCCACCCCTTAGTGGTCAGAATGGGGAGATCACCGGCTACAAGATCCGATACCGGAAAGGATCCCGGAGGAGCGAAGCAGCCGAGACCACTGGAGGCACCCAGCTTTTCAAGCTCATCGACGGTAATGGGCACTGACTCAGCAGTTAGCACAACTACAATAGCCAATGTCAGAATAAAACTAAAAGACTTTTATGAGATTTTGTGTATTTAGTTTTTTGGGTAGGCTCAGATCACACCTACCAGCTTTGTTGTCTTCCGTTGCAGTTTCTCAGAAAGATTTTGCAGTGATCCCTTGTAAGTGGGTTTGAATGTGGTGCATTTATTACTGCATGTGTAAGATAAAGACGAGTTACAGACCCAGTTCAGACCTACCTAGTAATTTACATCCAGCTTGTGTCTAGATCCAGCAGAGATCGACAGCAGATCCCACTTGGCATTAAAATACATTTTAAATGCATCTCAAGTCAGCTCTTGTGGTCAGATTTCAGTTCATATAACTCATATTTGGTTTTATCTGTGGGTAAACTTTGACTCCCTGTGATAGATTGCAACCTTGCATCAGATAAGCGGGTAGAGATGATGGTTTGGAGGATGGAAGCTAGATTTCTGCTAAATAGAGCATAAAACCATGTATAGCTACAGAAAATGAATATTGTTACTGTTTGGGTGCTGGATAGATTAATAGAACAAGAGACAGAGCAGAGAAATGAGGAGAAAAAGAGGGTGTTAACCAACTCTTATCTATACAGATGGTTTGGAAGCTTTTTTTTTTTTTTTTACTGTATCCTCAGTATGTCTTTGGGTGTGTTCACACTTGTGTTTTCGAGCTGTCTTCTTGGATCGCTGAGGGTGTGTTTTGAAGTGTGAACAGAACCATCGAGATAGCGATAGCACAGTGAGTGATTTGTGACTTAAAAACACAGCTTGTTGACTGCGGTATTACATTTAAGTTCATAGATGGTCTCCAGGTCTACATTTCGATGTGATTGTTAAACATATTTTTAAAATGGTGAACCTAGAAAGAAAAGTATTTTTTTCCTTTTCTTTGTACATACAAATCATTCTTTTCAATGCTTTAGATAAGTCCTACATTAAAACTTTTATGTTATCAGACTCCATTTTAACTCTGCTGGATGTATCTTCGATACTGTCAGCTATATCTGACATGCTGCAATATTTAAAATCTTGATTTTGAGATCTTGAGACCGTAGGCGTGTCTTGAGTTGTTGTTTGCGGTCTGTCTGATAGTCAGCCCATTTATTCAGTAAACATCTAAAATGTATCTAAATACTTTGAGATGGAGTAACATGTCTTACTGTACCCCAGCGTTACCCGCTGCTACTACCAAAATATGCACAATATCACCAGAGACACACAGCAATGGTGATTAATATTAGATGTTGTCTCAGCAACTTTCAAGTGGCCCGGCCTCACGCTGTGTGCTGCATCAAAGAGAATATACACTTAAAAGTTGATTTTTGAGAACATTCTGGGGGGTGAAACAGAGGGGTGTTTGTTGGTTCAAAAGCGTTTAGAAGGAGATGTTGTAGCCTTGGAGGCACACATAGTTAGGCAGTCTTCAGAAGCTACCCCCAAGGGTAGCCCAGGATAGTGGGTACAGAGAGAAAAGACTACAGGATTAGCATGTTGCGTGCAAATGGGACAATGTGACGATGATGAAAAATGTTACCGAAAATTAATACAGCAACACATCATTTGTCAGCAGGCGTTCCCGTCTTTTCTGAATACCAAAGCCGGCACCCAGCGGTGAAACTGCTCTTTCTGAAGGAGCTATAGCTTTAAAATATGAACGAATCCACACTCCGAAAGTTCTCCCCCTTTTCAGTGTTATACTTTTTGTGTCAGCTGCTTTTACACACTTTTTCTTTTCAACACTTCTTAACAGAAAATAAATCTTTACCCACCAAAAACATATTAATTAAAGGTGAGAAATAAATCTCAATCACTTCCATGATATTGAGTGGAAAAGTAGGTTAATTGCACCGCAGAAACCTTCACTTGATCCGTCCCTAGGCAGGCTTATAGATTTTCTCCTTTTGTGCAGGGAAGTATCGGGCATCTGGTTAAGATATTTGTGCTTTCAAAATATTTATCGTCTGCAACTCAAAGCCCAATTGTCCAGCCAACTGGAGAGCACCAGTAAATTTTAAAATGAAGGTTTAAGAAAGAGAGAGAAGTTTTAATGGAATAGTTTTTATGGCAGCTTGAGATTCAGTTCAGCCTCAGCTCAGTTTAAATATCCATGCCTTGAATCTGACCTTTTTGTGTTGCCTGTCCAGGTCTGGAGCGTGGAACAGAGTACGCCTTCCGGGTGTCGGCCATGACGGTGAACGGCACGGGACCGGCCACCGAGTGGACCACAGCGGAGACATTTGAGAGCGACTTGGATGGTAAAAAAAACATCTGTTTTACTCAATTCATACAGACTAAACCAGAAACCAGTCAGTTGCTTTCATGATGCATTTAATTAACTGATTGTTTAACTGGAATTTCACTGAAGATCTCTGCTGAAGTTTTATCTGCATTTCCCTCACCAGAATCACGTGTGCCAGACCAGCCCAGCTCCCTCCACGTCCGACCCCTGGTCAACAGCATCGTGGTGAGCTGGACGCCGCCAGAGAACCAGGACATTGTGGTGCGCGGTTACACCATCGGCTATGGCATCGGCAGTCCCCATGCTCAGACTATCAAAGTGGACTACAAGCAGCGCTACTACACCATCGAGAACCTTGGTAAGAACCTTACCTTCTGTATTGGTACATGTATACCATGATGTTTCCTTCTGTTTGTAATGCTTCTGTTTTTACTGAGACATTAATCTGATGGCTTAGATTATTTGTCACCCACATAATTGCACAATTGCATTGAAGAATCTCAGCTGATTTTTCAAATACCACCCAAAATGTCTGCATTTAAAGGTCCAGTGTGTAGGATTTAGTGGCATCTGGCAGTGGAGGTGCAGATTGCAACTCCCTTGCTTTGCCCTCCCCTTCTAAGTGTGAAGAACAGCCCTGTCTAGAGCTAGTGTTCGGTTTGTCCCTTCTGGCCTACTGTAGAAACATACTGTAGAAACTGGCGGCGTCAATAGATATAAAAGTCTTATTCTAAGGTAACGAAGGTGATTATACAGTAATGGAAACATACCGGTGAATATTATATTCCATATAGATAATAGATCCTCCTAAATGTTACACACTAGACCTTTAAAACATTTCAGTAATTATCCTTCTTAAAAATATAACTGTGGTATATCTGACACTGAAACTATTCTTAAATTTGAAAAAAAATCCCAACATTTTAAGGAGTAAACACACACAAACAATATGAAGCAGTTCAACTGTAATTCATAGTGAGATTTTAGAGAATTAATGAGCTCTTCTCCACCACGCGCCTGAGCCACTAATTACACGGATTACCCTAATGGGGACACGATAATTAAAGGTCAAAAATGCTTAAATAAAACAAACTTGTTTTTGTTGATTTTAATTCTTGCTGTCATTAAAGCAAAAATGAACACCAGCATAAAGTTAACCTCTCAAAACTGTTAGGTGTGAGTGCCAATCAGTCCAGCCTTTGAGAAAATTGCAACCATTGTCAATTGTGTGATTTTGGGGGTATTAGATTAAACCATTTCTCTATAAAACGCAAGAAAGCACTGTTGTGATGATGCTCTTATATCAGTAATAAGCAGTGATTGTGTTGAAAACCAAGACCTACAATTACAGATTTTGTTCCACAGGAAAATCATTTGTTGTCCTTCTGTATCCATTAAGCAGGTCATACTCTTTTGGGTGGTTTTTATTAATGGCATTAATCACCATCGATAACTTTACAGTAATCAAAACCTCAGGAAGGGGTCTTGAATGGGATTATGAGTTTAAAAAATAATTTTCAGAACTGGAGAGGTCTGAGGGAGGAATAGTTGCAAAATATCTATATATGCATAATTGAGGCCTTCATTACAATCACAGTAAGAGGAATGATTGTATTCAAATACTCATTCTAGCTAATATCACAATTATGAGGCGAGACTCTCGAGTAGTTTTTTGGCTTGATTAGATGGCTGCATCAATTTATCTCGCTCGTCCTCTCTCTCTCTCTCTCTCTCTCTCTCTCTCTCTCTCTCTTCTCTTCTTCACTCTGTCTTAACCTCTCTCTCACACCTGTGTGCTCTCTCTCTCTCTCTCTCTCTCTCTCTCTCTCTCTCTCTCTCTCTCTCTCTCTCTCTCAGACCCCAGCTCTCACTATGTGATCACACTGAAGGCCTTTAACAACGTGGGTGAGGGGATTCCTGTGTATGAGAGCGCCATCACCAGACCACAGTCAGGTATGAACTACACACATCAAGATCTACATATAAATCTACTCCCTTGCTTGCCTTAAAATGGGAAATTTCTTGGATACACAAAGTAAGAATTCAATAGTTTATATATAGTTTATACTGTTTGTCTGTGGTAGAAACTTAAATCCTTTAGCAACGGATAACGTAGACAGTATTATGGGACCTACTCACATTGGAGAGATGTAGTCACTCAGCCAAGAAAAAAAAAAAAAAAAAGACTTTGAATGACATGTATCTTTGCTCTCTCTAACCTGAGATCATTACCAGCCAGAATGTGTCTGGACTCGGGGGTCCAGACATGGGTGTCTAATTAACTCCCTTCATAATGGTCCCCAGTACATTTGAGTCTCTTTTTAATCAAATGTTCAAGCCATTAGATTTTGCCCTGAGATTACCAGTTTTCCCGATATTAAGATTTCAGTAGAGATGGGTATTATTTTGCGGGGGGTGGGGGGGACTGTATCTACACACTGGATTATTCTTTTAAATCAATACTTGCTTTAAAAATCCAGCATCAGTCGGACTATCACCTGTGATCCATTTATCTGCGTGCTTTACAGTGAAGCAAATTTAGTTGCATCAGCCAAACAGTATGTACAATCCAGTGTAATTGTCAGCCAGACGATCAATAACTCTTTAAGCCTCGGATCACAACCCCGTTAACAATTAGAAGTAGAACTTAAGTCCCAACACAGTGTGCTAGACAAATCTTAAAGTGTGAAAGACTGCCAGTTAGACTGCATGTCAGCTAAGTTCATACAGTTTATGTGACAGTGTAAGAAGACAGCCAGCCCATGCCTCCCTGGGGTGTCTCAGAATGTGGGCTGCACCCGCCTCCTCTTCCATCCAGCCTCCCACCTCCCCGCTCAGCCTTGATCACTCCAGTTTGTCTCTGCCGCAGCACTATTGCACAGCTGAGCAGGAGAGGGGTGGGATGCTGGATGACGAGTCACGTCAACATGCATCGAGGGGGGGTGGCAGTTTAAGTGTCTCCACACACCCGCGCACTGTCATACTGTACACTTCTCTCTATGAAGATCTTGCTCCTTCATATCCTCGCCACACACACACACACACACACACACACGCAGCGCTGCACACACGCAGACCCCCCGTGGTGGCTTTGGCAACCCTACGTCAGATCCAAACGTTTCCTCTCAAAGCAGAACCAAAGCCCACCACCATCGTCTGCTGCTGAATCCTTAGGGGCACGTTCCGTTCCTGCCAGTTTGTTCAAGTCGGGATTAAAAAGACGAGCTGACCTACATAGTACTTTTACTTTTGGAAGAAACTGAGGAAAACTTGGTGAACTTGCTGCTGAGAGTGTGCTAGGTTGAATATGTTATAATAATATGACGTCTTAACTGAAAAGCAGGAATGAGGGATTGCACCCTCATCTGCTTTAAAAAAAAAAAACCTTACAAGGGCAAGTCAGCCTCTTTCCTGCAGTGTATTCTCAAACACTGGAGACTGTATTCTTCCATGCTGGGTAAAGAAATGCAGCTTGCATGCCACTCCAAAAACCACAGTGCCTCTCCACAGCCACATGAATGCTTGGATCTTCATCATGCACACAAACACACACACTGACTCAGTCTCAGTCAGAATATAATGAGGGCAGCTCTGCACAAAGAGGTGTCAAATGGAGTGAAGCGGCGAGGAGAAGACCAACAAGTGGTCGAGGGGGAGTGTCATCATGGGTGACTGACCAAAGCTTTTTTCTTCCGTCTCAACTAAACCAAGAGGAGAGAAAGTAGCGACCAGAAGGCCATCTTGAAGTGTTTACCCTTCAGTATGTTGGCCAGAAGCTGCTTTTTTGAGCCCCTCTTTCCCTTTCATAGACACACAAACACACACGTACTCACTGGGCTTTAGGCAGGTACAAACACACTCAAGTGCTCTTTGTGCAAACACACATACACACTCTTACATAAACATATAATTAAACAACGTGTTGTTACGTAACTTACTAAATGCCATTTATCTTATCCAAGTGCTGGACTGCGCTTTGAATGGGATTCTTAAAGGTCACTACCACTACATTTTTAAATTGAATAGAGTACTTAGTTGTTGAATAGATAAATATGATGATAAATGCAGGGAGTTCATAGAAATGTATATCAGAAATGTTTATATTATTTCTACTTAGGTAGATTTTCCTTTACTTTGTCTGATTGTTTTAGTGTTGCAGGCAATGTCAAATCAGATTATATTAATTTTGGTATTATTGGATTTACAGAATTTGTGCAATGTGATGTTTTTCAGGTATCTTTTATTCTGCATTAGCCTTCTCAGGCTTCTCAATTAAATTGACAAAAACCTTACTATATCACAATATACAGTAAACTGATATCACAGTATAAAAGGATATAATGTGGCTAGAATCAAGACTTGAGAACTGATGATAATGCTGTTTGCATTCTGGTTTATTTAACAGGGATAGTCATATTAATAAACATTATTTTAATTGCTAGTTGCAAGTTAGCCAAAAGGTTAATATTATTTTAATCAGATGTGACAGAAAATAACTAGAAATGTATTCAAATAGATTACAAACACTCATAGCAATAAAAAAGAGAATATTCATATTAGTATAAAGATATCAGGACATGTATTTTTTAAAACATGCAACACAGAACACACAATACACAACATGCAACGCAATTAAAAGCATCTGTTATAACCCAAACTGAATTAGGATTGTAACTCTGTTAAAACATTACATGTTCACAATAGGAGTGATGCATGACGGTTATTTTCTAGTATTGAATCAAGGACTGTGGAAAGTGGTCGAGACCACGCTCTACTGCAGGTTTTTCAGAACACCTTTGAGCCTCAGAACAGAAGCAGCACTCGGCACATGCACATCCAACCACAGCCACCACTTGTCCGTGACCCTCTTCTCTGCCTGCAGGCTCCGTTACTTAAAGCCCCTATATTCTTTCTACAGTTTTCAAGGACATAATGCACCTTGTCAACGTTACTCTGAAAGGAAGGAAATGTTCCGGTGCATTCAGTGTCCTTCTGTTTATCCACTTCACATTAAAAAGTTGTGAAAAGCTCCTTGATGTAAACCTTTCTAGACACATTTCACTACTGACTCCCTCTGAAAAGAGTGGGTCAACACTTCAATGTTGCAAGTTTGAAAAGTTTGCTGTAGGATTGTAGGTTTCTGCTTGCACTCTAGTTTTCCATTTACTGTAATCTTTTCTTGTGAATAGAGTATTTCTTCCTCTCTCTCTGTAGTGCTACAGTATTTATTGATAGAACACCACATAGTCTACATTAGCTTCTTTATAGCAACCAAGTCTGTACATTCGTCTTATTGTAGACTGTTTTTCTAATAGAATCTTCTCTCCTTTTCTCTTCACCCTTCCCAATCCCATCCTTGTTGCACTTATGTTATCTTTTTCTTCCTCCCTCGTTGACGTCCTTCATTTTAACTCATTAACATTATTTTCTCCTGTTCATTCCTCCCTGCCTCCCGTTTTGACTCCACTGTCTGATTCACCACACCACGCTTCTTTTTATGTTTTAATTTTGTTCATTATAATTTGTGTGCATGCATGCGGTTTTTCTGCCTGGCGTGCAGACCCCATAGACCCCGATGTTGACCTCTACGAAATCTTCCATGCTTCATACACCCCAGTACCAGACCCCTCTCCCATGATGCCTCCTGTGGGTGTTCAGGCCTCCGTGCTGAGTCACGACACCATCAAGGTGACCTGGGCCGACAACTCGCTTCCCAAGAACCAAAAGATCACAGATAACCGCTTCTACACAGTGCGCTGGAAGACCAACATCCCTGCCAACACTAAAGTGAAGGTGAGGGGTTCTTGTTCGATACTCACTTCCTGATTGTATGTGTGTTTGTTCAATTCAGGAAGTACTATTATTGGATTCAAAAGTCCATTTTTTGAAGTCTTTACTGTTAATTTCATTGTAGATGAGTTCTCCAAGAAAAGAAGCGCCAGTGTTATTTTTAAACTCTCCTTTTTCTGGTTTAGCTCAGCATTTTTTACGCTCTAGTAACTTATTTACAAGTTGGTGTAATTCAGTACAAATCAAATCATTTCAGCCTGATCAAACTTTGGTAATACGCCTTCATTTTATACAGTAAGATTTCTGTGTACTTCGGTGCACAGGGACTTTGTGCATCTCTTCACGCCTACACTTACCAGAGAGATGTACTGATGTGCTGAAAATAAAAAGTAATGTCATCCAATGATCTATTCCCACAGCGGCTCCAAAGCACAGTGGCAGCATAATGCAGACATTTGTAACCGAGCAATAATCTTATTTTCATCCACATTCGAGGCACTATAAAGAGATGTCGTTCTGCACTTGAACTGAGAAATTCTTCCTCAAAATTTTGTGTTACATTAGTCTTCCCAGCAACATTGTTTTAAGTTGAGTAAGAGATGGTTCACAGGGGGGTCAGGTCTGTATTGCAGTCAATCATAAGGCTGTAGGTTAAATACAATTCTCTTGGCTCTGCATTCCTGTTAAAGGTTGTCTGATTGTATAGCTCAGAGGTTAGCTCAGCTCATTGCTATCTGTAGCTGTAGATATAGTGGTTTCATTAAACCGATAATGGCCTCATTAAAGTTAAAGCTTCTTTTTCAATGATGGTACAGTAGCAGGTCTGGATGAGTTTCATTTTAGATAGATAGATAGACAGATAGATAGATAGACAGACCTTAAATTTCCATCCTGGTTGATTTGGCAACATCTATAGTAACAGTGGTAACAGCCAGTGCAGTTTAGTACCACAGCAAACACTGGTTGCTCTTCACTCTTAACTGCTAAAACAATTCAATAAACACATTTTTAAACATATAATATGTAAAAATTTCCTTGATTTTGTCTCAAAAACAACTAGACCCATGTTTTTTATTGTGTTGAGATGTGCACTTACATTATCCCAAATGTTTCCAATAACATTTACAACCAGAGAAATACATAGTTTTATTCAGTCAACGTTCCGTTTCTTACTTGCCCCTAGCTGCAGAAATAGCATATTATACAATAAATAGAAATACAAACTACAACAGAAGAGCAGCTAATGTATGTGTTTACCGTGCAGCCAAACAAACTCACGCTGTTTCAGTTAAGAACTTAAGTATTCAATTATGCCTTTGCATAAGTAGGCAATTTGAATCCAGCAATGGGAATGGCGGACCCCAACACTAACAATAAAAACTGCTACGTAGAGAGAAAATTGCTTAATTTAAATACACAGACTGGCTATTGCAAAGAAAAAATAACTAGTATCCACAACTTTGAGGAATCTGACTTTAATAGTATTTATAGATTGATCAATAGTTTAGTATACAATGTTCCCACAGCCCAAATCTTTACATTTGAGCAATTAAAACCGGTACATTTGTGCTTGATAAATGAAATGATGATGATAAATTGGATAGTAGTCGATTCATTTCTGTGGATCATGAAGCTCTAGAGTTCACGGTCAATGAAACAATCAAGTGCAGCACTGGAGTATTACACTAATTTTCTGTGTTCATTGTCATACAGATGCAGAGTGCATACAGAGTAAAGTCATGCGCATGAGTGTAATGTATTATATGATTTATGAGTCACAGTGAGCTGAACCTGAAACAAGGTGTTTGAGATTCAGCTTCCGATTCTTGGCCTGCAGCTCAATTATGATGATTACTTATCTCTGAACACTGGATCACTGTGTGTGTGTGTGTGTGTGTGTGTGTGTGTGTGTGTGTGTGCGTGTTTGTGTGTGTGTGCGTGCGTGTGCGTGTGTGTGTGTGTGTGCGTGTGCGTGTAAACCTGTGACCAGGCAGAGCTCAGATAAAGGCCTGCGTTTACTGATAAATTATTCAACAAGGACAAGACAAACTGAGAAGTAGAAGAAGAGGGTGTAGATCTGTAGAGCATACAGCCAACTCAGACGACACACACACACACACACACACACACACACACACACACACACACACACACACACACACAGAGCCGAGTCTTGCTGCAATGAGTGGATGCTCAAATTGGTTTGATTCTCACACTGTGACAGTAATTAAGGACTTCCACAGGCTCATTATGCTTCTGTCTTATTAGCCAAATTCAATATATTAACAAGTCTATTAGAAAGGTCTTTTCTAGTGTTTCTTATCAGTGCAGTGTAGATCACATCTTGTACATCCTATATACTTCAAGTACAGCTGTACCAGAGACCCGTCTAACCAACAGCGATGGCTTCACCTTAATGCTACTCTTCTTCATGTGCCCTCTTCTCTTAGAGCGAGTCTAGCCAGACAAGCTTGTACATTATTGAAGAGACCACTGCTCTCAAACTGGCAGCATGTTTCTAAAGCACAGAGTGTTTTCTTTTCCTATCCCAGTGCCCTCTGTTTGACAGCCCCCACCGGAGACCTGTACTTTTGTCATAGCACGCAATGTTATAGATAGGGCTGTTAGAGACCTGGCGACCTGACTCGCTGCTGCTATGACCCCCAGCAAGCTAAAGCTGGGCCTCCTTTTTCTCCTGCCAGCTCAGGCCAGCAAAGATCAAGATAAATGGTTACATAACTCAAGCTTTTTGAAGTCTGAAATGCCATAGAAATGTGAAACGCCCCCTTTTTTATTTGGTTTTATAGCTCATTGGTAATGGCTACACTTTTTGTGGCACGATATTTCACACTAAACATGACTGAGTATCACAAATGTAAAAGGTTCTGGTTCCACTCACAACTACTAGTGATTGATTAGTTGATTGACATTCACTTGTTCTGTCACCTTGAAGTTTAGGAATTTGGGATTGGTATTTTTTGCCATTTTATACCCTAAAATATTAATCAATGAATTAAGAAAATGATTAACAGACTAATGGATAGTAATAATTGTTGGTGTGTTAAAAATTCTAACATTGCAGACTTCATCAGCGTTCAGTGAACGTAATCTGCCTTCTAACATACTGAATTCTTGTTTCTGTGTGTCTGTGTGTGTTCTCTCTTGTTTGTCTGTCTCTCCCCAGATGGCCAACACCACTAGCCTGAACCACATGGTGACGGGATTGAAGCCCAACACACTATACGAGTTCTCCGTCATGGTGACCAAAGGCCGCCGCCTGAGCACGTGGAGCATGACTGCACAGGGCACCACCTTTGAGACCAGTAGGAACACACACACACACACACACACACACACACACACACACACAAATAACTGTGCAGAAACACACAACATAAACCAACTTGTCCAGTGTAACGAGTCCCTGGCTGGGAGTAACATTTCACTTTTTGCTGCCCGAATTGAAGGAGAGGACACTCCTGAGGAAATTCAAGCTGACACTAGACAGTATAACATAATCCAAATAATAAGACAGGTATTTATCAGTAGACCTCAAATAAACTGCAGGTGAAATTGAGGAAACCTGCTGCAAATTTGGTGATTGCAGAATATAATTCTGGTTAGTAGTACAATTTCCTGTTAAAACAAATTATTTCTTTTCATGTTTTTCCTTGATTTGCAGACCAATGGCCTGGCGTCTCAGCCTGAGAATCAGTAGAGCCACAAACTAAGACCTGGCCCTTTTAATGGGTTCAAGCTTATAGAATAAAATTCATTTTGTTTTAGTTTTGTGGGACAAATGTTATGTTGCCTTTTGCTTGCCGCAATATCTGAAGTATGACGGTTAATTATTTCTCTCGCCTGAGTCAGCTGGATCAAAACTGCGTAAATTGACTGTGTTAGTGGTAAAATTGCTCACAGTACTGTCACCATAGTAACATGTTGTCCTTTTAAATCCGTCGGCCATTCTGTATTGAAAATATACAAGCCCTTGAGTATTTGTATAAGATTCCTGCAGTGCTCTGTACCTAACACTGAAGATACTAAAATCTGCAAGCTGTGAAGTATCAGAGCCCATACTTCATTGTAAATTGTAATTGCTGAGCTAGAAGTTGCTTGACAATAAACCAGACATTAAAAACACCTGCATTTTTATATGCATTATTGTATGAAGATTTATTAGACTATTAACTAGAAGTTTTAGTTGTGTTTATTATAGAGAGCAGAATAGACAGTTTTCATTTCTGCCCAACCAGTGTTTGTCGGTGTGTGCAAGTGATTTGTGATTGGAAGGTCATAAACAAGTAATAAACTTCAGGTCATCGGTTTTTGAGGGCAGTTTGAGCACTTACAAGATATCCAAACAAAAGTCACATAGAGACATAAAATGCAGATACAGTATCCTAAGACTATGTGCTAAGCTGCACATGACACATATACAAATGCACACACACAGATTACTCATAGTAAAAGTTAATAGTGAGTGGTGCACTAACTGTTCAACAACTCAATAAATGTCCTGTCTCAACCCCCCCCCACAGTTCCCAGCTCCTCCCCCAAAGACGTGACCGTGGTGAGCAAAGAGAACAAGCCTCGCACCATAATTGTCAACTGGCAACCTCCCTCTGAGGCCAATGGAAAGATCACTGGTGAGTCTCTTGTGTGTTACACATTTTCAAAGATAAGATAAATCTCCAGTTCATCCTAATATATGCCATTAAAATTGTGGGATTCTGGACTGAAATAAAGTCATATTTCTAACTTGTTGTCTTTGATTTGAACCATTTAGACCTCTTTCTAACAACTCTCCATTACATGCTGACTAATGAAATCACATTTAGGTAGAGAATTGATGTAAACTAAATGATTACGCATGTAAAATGGCCAAAGAAAATGTATGTTCCTTTCACTTTTCAGACATTTTGTGCAAGTAGTGGTCAGAGAGCAACATCAATCTCCATCTGTTCACTGCACTGCAGGCTTTTACTAAAAGTAGATGTAATGCGGTGAATTATATGAATCCAATAAAGAGTGCGATACATGACTGTGTATTGTAGTGTCACAGCAATAAAGCCAATGAACATTAACATATTTGTCTCTCTCTTTCTGCCCCTCCCTGTTGTAGGCTATATAATTTACTACAGTACAGATGTAAACGCTGAGGTCCACGACTGGGTTATTGAACCAGTCGTGGGCAACCGCCTGACCCACCAGATCCAGGAGCTTACGCTGGACACCACCTACTATTTCAAGATCCAGGCCCGAAACTCAAAGGGCATGGGCCCCATGTCTGAGGCCGTACATTTCCGCACTCCTAAGAGTAAGTTTGAGAGATGAGGCGAGATGAGAACATGATAAGGACCAGTGGTGCAATGAAACTGCATCCACCCCTTTCGCCAGTTCAAGTGTTATTTGATATGTAAAAGTATATAATCCCAGCTTGCACTTCAAGAGTCATTTATTTTCCTCAGGAGGTTGGTGGGCCTCCTGAAGAGCTAAATGGAGAGAGAATGAATATTGGATTTACATTAGTCAGGTCACCAGAAACACGACTCCAAATGAATGCTAATTTTACTGCGTGTCTGCTGGATGTGTAAACAGGCAACTGTTTGCTGAAACATCCTACAGCTCTGCTTTAAGACAACGTAGGGGGCGGAGTTGGTGGGGGCTGTGGTGTTTAAACCTGCTACAAGATTTTAACGGATTATGAAACAGCCTTAATTTAATTCTGATGCTTCTATATGACCTGCATATATAAACAACAGCATCAGCGAGAAGATGTTTCTATGTAGTTATTCTTAATGCCTGCCACTAGGTCAGATTCCCCTTGAAATCAATGAAATGAGGTTGTGGAAACACTACCACTTTTGTCCATAGGGGCCGTTCCTTGTTGCTGCTTTAATTTACCATTGAGGCGATGAAAAGCAATCCAGGAGCTCCAGTTTTAGTGACATGCATTTAAAGGTTTATCAGACACCACACTTCATGTCGAGCTAAAGTTGGACTATAACAGTTACTCTGCCCTCATTTGATGTGACCAAAACAATCTATTAATGCAGCTTTAAGATTTGACTTTCACTGGCACAACAAAGATCCTTTAAGAATTGTGATCTGATAAACAGTTTGCATAACGGTAGTTAAAGTAGGTCTTCATATAAAACGGCCTGTTTTGAAAACACATCAATATCCCAAGTTGATGATGCCCAACAGTCTGCTACTCTCCAAGGATGCATTTTCCCCTATTAACTTTCTCCCATATGATGTGCCAGTTCTGACTTAAATAAATCTCCTAGTTAACACTCTCCTGATGGAATTTGCTGTGAGAAAGCCTCCTGAGAGCTGAGACAGAGATGTTTCCCAAGCCTTGTTGATTGCTTGGGGATGATCAAATTACTTCAAAGTCTGGTCAGTAAATCTGTACCCAGCTCTAAATGTAAAAAAGCTATTTTAGGTTCAGTTTGACGGTGCTGCGTATACCTTGTTTTGTTTTTGTCTGAATATTTTGACAGGTATGGTATGCACTATTTACTTATAATCAATGTGTTTAATTGTAGAATATTTTTTCATTTTTCATTTAGATTCTCTGCTTTTAATGTCAGCTTGGCTGTGTCTGTAGTACACTGTTGCTGTTTGGTTTTCTCACTATTTCTCATTCTTCTAGTTTTTGCTACTTTCCTCCTCACAATCCCCATCTCTCGCTTTATTTGTCTCCCTCGCTGCTCTTTTCAGCTAACCTGTTTTTTGCTTTTTATTGTCTCTCCCTCCCTGCTCTCCTTTGGCCTGTTAAGCTGAGTCCTCTGACAAAATGGCTAATGACCAAGGTAAAATCCCCCTCCACACTTTATCTTTCACTGCTGACTCTGCACCTCGTGTATCTCTCTTCCAAAGATTTTCTCCTTCTAGGCTGATGAAAACTTGGGCTGCATGGCCGGCGAAATCTAGTTGTGCTTGTAGAAATGTTGAAGATTATAATGTATCTCTTGAACTTTTGACAGAGAACTAAATATGATAGTAGATGAGGTCATAAAAACACGTAAGGAGAGTTTGATTGTAACACACTTTTTCCATTTAAATCAGCTTCAAATCTTCTACCGAAGCCAGGGCCTTCAGGAAACCAACATCCACAGGACCCTGGAAATGCAGTTGGTAAGATTTTCCTCCCACCCACTTTTTTATTTTGAAAATGGCAATTTGAGCCAACTTTTTGGGTCAATATTTTTGATGTAGCGTAATGTGGCGTGTTTTCTTGGTAGTGACTCATCAGTGTCTTTAAAGAGGTATTTATAAATGCACCCCAGTCTAATCCAGTCTTTCTCCTCCAGGGGTGGGAGGCAATACTGAAAATCACATCCTGGTCATTGTCATCATCGTCTCAGTGGGAGCCTTCACCATCATCGTGGTGGTGGTTGGGGCCTTCCTGTGTACACGGCGCACCACGTCCCACCAGAAAAAGTAAGGAGCTCAGTCACACTGTTACCTTTCTTGTCCTCTTTTTTTCAATTCTCAATTCTCAGTGCTCCTTTCTACCTGCTAACTGTGTTACCAACAGCCCAGCTCCCTCCTGTGTTCTTTGTTCCTTGTACTTTGGGCACTTTGTCACCGTCTCTGTAAATAAGATCAGTCTTTCATCATTACCTCTGTGTTCTCCCCTGCAGAAAGCGTGCTGCCTCAAAGTCCTCAAACGGCTCCCACAAATACAAGGGAAACTCCAAAGACCTGAAGCCACCTGATCTTTGGATTCACCACGAGAGGCTGGAGCTCAAGCCCATGGACAAGTCGCCAGACCCCAACCCAGTCATGACCGAAACGCCAATCCCCCGCACCTCGCAGGACATCACGCCGGCTGACAGCACCCTGGACAGCAACCCCCACCTGCAGCAGCGGCGTAACTCCTACCGCGGTCAGTCTTGCCCCAGGGGGAAGACTTAAAATTTGATGTTATGGGAAAGAGATCAAAGTGAAATGTCACCCTTACTGCCTGAGCTTACATGCATAATAACACTGAGCAAACTTCTTAAAGTTTGGCTGGCAGGAAAGGAAAGTACATTTTGGAAGGTTGACTAAGAAAACAGTTGGTTTTTTAGGGAGGAAATGTGTTAATACCATCAGGTTTGCTTCCAGGAGCATAACTGGAAGAGAGTTTGGTGGTGTTTTTGTTTCACAAGTCAACACTTGCATTTGCTGTTATTTTATTATTATTATTTATTATTATTTTATTACCACGCAAAACATTTCATGCTTTTCATACATTATGCCCATTACTTGTCATGATTGCAGTGCGGCGGGCACATACTGCCAACACTACAGCTCTCAGTTGTGAATGTGACATTTAGAAATGCAACCAAAACCCAATGGTATAGAACCGATTGAGGATCCTGAGATCTACAGATTGATCATCACACAAAAAGAACAAAAAAATAATAGATCTTTCTGATTGGCTGGTTTCCACCGTACCTTTTAGGCCACGAATCAGAGGACAGCATGTCTACACTAGCAGGCCGACGAGGGATGAGGCCTAAAATGATGATGCCTTTTGACGCACAGCCGCCTCAGCGTAAGTGTGTGTGTGCCTGTGTGCCTGTGTGTGTGTGTGTGTGTGTGAGTGGTAAGTGGAACTTGTCATAATTTAAAGATAGTGAGGAGTCAGTTTTTGAAAATCTTCACTTTGAATTTGGAAATTAGAACACAAAGACGCATACCAGTTTCAAATATATCTCATGCTAGATACGCCCATTTCATTCTTCTCACAAATGTTCATTTTTATTGTTGTTTTTCTGAATTTCTTCCTTCCTGAATTTGGTGACTGAGTGACAAACAGAGAAAATATTCAAGTGTGTTTATTACAGAAAATTGCATGTTTGTGTATCTCACCAGCAATACTTCCAAACCCTTCATCATTATTACAGCTGGTTAAACATCTCATCTTGTTTGTGTGTGTGTGTGTGTATCCATGTCCATTTTCATTCACAGCTGTGATTAGTGCTCACCCCATCCATTCCCTTGATAACCATCACCACCATTATCACATGGGCAGCCTGGCGTCGCCGACACGCAGCTACCTCTACCACCAGGGCAGCGGGCATCCACGCCCGCACGCCTGCGCCACCCCCATCTCCCATCTAGACAGGGTGGACTCTACAGGTGAGAGACTGCCACCTGCTGGACAGCAGGAGACGTACAGAGAAGGGCAGGGCAGTCATTCATTCATTGATTTGTCATTTGCTCATTCATTCACATGCAGCTGCCATCTTGCTACGTTCATATTGTAGTATTTTAGTGTTACTAACCACTCTTTTCTAACCTCCCTGCCTCATAAAATAATGTTTTGATGCTCTTTTCCACTCATCTCAACTTTTACCAAAACAAACTGAAGCCACCTGGAAAGCGGTCAGATTTGCCAATGATTTAAACTTTTTACAGAAAATACTAACAGTTTGCTGGTTGCAGCTTCAAGAATGTTAAGATTTGTTTACTTTTATTAGTTTTATATCAATTATATAATTTATATAATATATCAATTATATAATATAACATTACATGTGTAGATATTACACAGTAAGTATGCAGTTTTTAGTTTAAATATAGGATAGATAGTATTTTGACATTACAGAAATATTTTTGATAATTGACAATAAAATATTTTAAATTAGGTCCTTTGCTTAGGGTAAAATTACTTTGTGTAACCTCCCTATTAAGGTATGAAAGCCGCTTGACAAATGGAGAATATGAAAAAAAAAAAAAAGGCTACTGACTATTGTGGGAATGTTATGGAAAAATGTATCTGTGTAAATTGAGAAATTAGTAATCAGTGATTGTGGTCATTTCTGATGAACAAGTTCACAGGGACAGAAAGAATATGCTGTATATGTGCATTGTAGGGCTGCAGTTAAGGATTTTTATTTTAAATAATCTGCTAATTATTGTTTTGCTCAATTTCCCAGAGCAAGAGCAGAGTAAAATTTTATTTGCTTGTTTTGTCCAAAACTCAAAGATATTATGTGTACTACCATGGAATACTAAGAAACCTTGCAAATACTTACATTTGAGAAGCTGAAACCAATTACTAATTTTTTGCTTAAAAGGTTTAAATGAAAAGAAACAATTTTCTGTTCGATTACCGACATCTGTAAAAAAAAAAAAGTGTGTGAGACAACTTCACTTTCCCAATATCAAAAATGTTATCATCTGTAAAGCAATCCATTACATAATAAGTTCTTTCAGAAGATATATTTAAAAACCTTGCAAAGCTGGTTGGCAATAAGCCTGTAAACCCATCTGCTCATTGTCTCACCTCAACTCCCCTCTGCCCCCTCCTCCAGAGTCAGTGAGGAATACCCCCAGTTCAGAGCCCCTCCCTCCAGCCACCGCCTCCTCCCAGGTCTCCTGCCCCTCGGAGATCATGGCCGACCCCGAGGGCAGCTACCACGGCTCCACCACCACAGAGGAGGAGCCCAGCTACTCCAGCAACCTGCCCCCTCACCGCTCGGCCCACCCGCACGCCCACGCCCACCCACTCAAGAGCTTCGCCGTACCTGCAATCCCAGCCACCAGCCATCCATCGTACGAGTCACCTGCCCTGCCCAGCACTCCCCTGCTGGCTCAGACCGGTGAGCAGAAACACACACTTGCATCAGCTCCAAGCACTCTGGTTTGTACTGAAGATGTAAATCTTTAAAAACAGCTCACACACATATACCTCTGCTTTTGAAAAAGGCAAAACATTTTCAAAGTTACTCAGGAGTAAATAGGCACATTTAGTTATTTACTTGTCAGTAGCGATCAATTCATTGTTGGGGTTTAGACCTCAGTTTAAGAGTCCTCACTCTTAAACTCATTCACAACTTGAGTGGATCCAGTTAAGAAACTCAAATAGCAGAAAGTGACCCGGGTTTATGTGTTCACTCTTCAGAGGGAGTGGTTTCCACTTCAGGCATCCGTTGCCTTCACTGACTGTTGTATATTTGTGCATGTCACATTCAGGGCCTCCCTCTCACCCCCACGTTGTTAAAACAGCCTCTATTGGAACACTAGGAAGGACACGAACACCGATGATAGTCACCGTGCCCAACGCCCCTGATGTGCCAGAGACCAGCAAGATGCTGGAAGATGTAGACAGCGTGAGTACAGCGCCCCACACTGGCTACTCGTAGCAATGCAGTCTGTTTTTGTCAGGACTAATGATGGTAATGTAATATTTATTCAGTCTTGTCTTGTAAAATTACACCAGTCACACATTCCTTCCAAATCCATGTCAGGTTTTCTTTGGGCACTGGATTATACAGTTGGACATTGGTTTTAACCACATTTTCTGTTTGTTCTTTCTCTCTTTTTATTCTTTCCAACTTCAATCTCACCATTTTTTGTTGTTGGCTGCCTTTTAATCAATTCATTTAACAACCGATCTTAACAAAAAAAAAAACACAACCGGAATGATTTTATTTTTACCATTTCATTTGTATCACTTTATGTCTTAATCCTTGATTGGCTGTTGACCATCTGTTGACATCGGCTTCTCTTTGGTTCTGGATGTTTTTTGCTTTTGTTTGCTGCCTCGTTTTTTCGCCGCTTTAGTCCCATTGACCCATCCCCCAGCTCGCCTCACCCCACCCATACAACTCCCCCTGCCCTCTGTGAAAGATCCCTGACTGACCCTCTCCTCCTCTCCTTTCCTCTCTTCTCCTCCTTCCCTCCCCCCCTTCCTCCCTCCCTCCAGGTGCTTGCCTCCCTCCCCCCCTGCCCCTCCCCCGCCCCTCGCAGTAACCCTGTTCCTCTCCCTCAGAGCTACGAGCCCGACGAGCTGACCGAGGAGATGGCCCACCTTGAGGGCCTGATGAAGGACCTGAACGCCATCACCACAGCGCCATGAGCATGCACACACACCTTCACAACACATGTAGACACACTTTCTCTGTCATCCACACACACACACACACACATACAGAAAGACACACTCTCGAAAGTCAAACAAAACGCAACGAAACATAAACCTTGGGAACCAGAGGCTGGTGGACACAAAATGGCTTCTTGTGCCCAAGAAAAACTCTCATGTCCCCCTGCAGAGAAAAAAAAACAAACAAACTCCAGACTGAAACTTAGGAACTTTTTTTCAGCTTACCTTGCTCAGTCTCAGGAAGGAGATTGCCATGAGAGGGAAGAAAAAGTGTCACACTTCATCTTTTTATGAAGAACCATTCTCAGAGACAATGAACTTTAAAACATTGGTCGCTATCAACCGGAAGATTGTGAATTTTTTCCTCAGCAAAAATACGTACGGTAGGTTTTTTTTGTTGCTAACGCTCACTCAAGATGAGACAACGGTTGATTCAATGTCAAGTCAAAAGGAGAAAGTCCAAAAATATGCTGGTTTTGATGTTGGTGCTCATGCGGCGCAGTCTACACACAGTGTTTGTTTGATTAGTGTTTTCTTTGTGCATTTTGTATATCTATTGGGCCGTTTCAGTGAAGTGAACATTGGATATCAGCCCCCCCTTTACAAGCCTACATTATTCATAAACGTGGTCATTTTTGTTTTGTTTTTACCCCCTTGTGTCATATATTGTGCCATGACTTTTTATTATTTTCTATGTTATTGTATTATTTTTTTACACGCATATCCTTATAAACATGTACATATGTTGTGTTTTTTTTAAACTGCCTCGTTCTTTTGATGTTTCCCATGTTTCATTATTATTATTTGGGATGAAAGTGGGATTACAAATGAGTCCTGAAGCTCAGTTTTCATATCAAAAGGGGAGAGAAGCCTGATATGTTTCTACAAGTACATTCTTCTCTGGCATTGTGTTGCCCGCTTTGTACATTAAAACGTCTTCTTTTTCAGTCTTTTGTTTGTTGTGGGAGCTCCGTTTTAAAAGCCTTACCAACGTGTTTGTATGTTGGACAGTCGAGATGACTCGGCTCTCCGCGGATGTCGCTCAGAGTTGTGCTGTCACTCACTGCCAGTGACAGGCAGTTTCTATATAAATCTGTGGGACTTGACAGTATCTCCTCACAGGTCAGGGGTACCCAGGACTCAGGGCGCTGACCCCCCCCCACCCCTACTAAAAAACAAACAAAAAAAAAACTCACATGCCACCCAATCAATCAATCACCTGCAACAGACGAGTTATCTTTTTTACGAGAAGTTCGGTCGAATATGTGTGTCGTTTCAAAAAACCAATATTTGGTTTCAGACGTCTGTACTGCTGAACCACGTGTGCATTTTCCCACAGCGGAGTGTGTTTGCTGTATTTTCCTGCTGTTCTTCATCTGATGCCCTGGTTCTTTTACAAATCTTATAAGATGCAAAGATGTTGGCCTTTTGAATGGGACTCCCAGATTTTTTTTTACATGGTAGTTTTTGTATGAAGAAGAAAAAAAAGAAGCTTGTTCTATACACAAATCCGATGTAAAAAGGAAAAAAAAGTTCATCTAAGAAACTAGTTTTTCATTACCCTCTTACCCAAAGAAATTTGTCATTTGCAATCATAGTAATTTGCTCTACTTTTGTGAATACCATGTTTCTCATAAATGTACATCGTCATGAATGTCAATATAACTGTAAGAGATTTTAACTATGGATACAAACAAGGAACAAGTTTTGGGGAAAAAATTATTGAGAACAAACTGGGGGGAGAAAAAGGACCGGACTCCATTTGGGAAATAATCTATTGAGTTGTAAACAGTTGAACCTGTATTGCACTTTTTCACAATTTTTGAAAAGTACATTTCTTACATATCTTGTGTTTTAAATATCAAAAAGCTGTTTGTGTAACGTAGTGTCCTAGGTAAGCAGCAGGCAGCTGGTCTTGTTTTTTATGTTTATTTTTTTTGCTTCAGAGATGATATGAATTTGAGCAGCCGAGTTGTTCACTTCGCAGCTCATGATGATGAGGAATTCTGTTGTTGCTTGTTCATGTACAGAGCTTTCTTTGCTTTCTGTAGAAAAAAAATCTGTGGCTTTTTAAAAAATGTTGAAAAAATGTTTGGAAAAAAAGATGTTTTTTTATTGGTGCTCCTATACATTGTGTATACAAACTATTATGAATACTAACAAAGTAAATGTTTCTGCTCGTCTTCTTTTCATCGAACATGATCAGGAAGCCTGTCGGGTATTAACGTGACATTCATTGATCACTGACGTGTACTAAAATGGATTGTTAGCAGTATTATACAATCCAAAAGCAACATTACCCATCTACTGTACCCCATGAGTGCAGGGAAAGGTTGAATCAATAGAAAACTTACAAGCAACAATTTCATGAAAAACTAATAATTTCAGCCATTTTTAAGGCAAAAGTACAATTCACGACATTTCCCTGGGTCCATCTCCTAATGTGACCATATTTCTTGGTTTTCTCAGTCATCCAGTGGTTAAACTGGGGCTCTGGGACCAGCAGAGGTCTTTGAGTGTGTTATAGAGGGTCCCCAGCAAAAGGAGGAATATAATATTTTAACTTTCGTCACATTGTTTTGGAAGCTGGAACAACAAGGGAAGAAATAGGGTTGGCCGTTTTTATTAAATCATTTATATAGTGATCTCAGTTTAATCCTTGATTAACTATGAAATCAACCTGAAAATAAAAGAATACTAAGAGGGTATTCCTTAATACAAAATCCCCTGAAATTGGGGGGTCTGTGGTCTAATGTGCATCTATTGACATAAGCAAGTTGACATTAAACTGAATATCATTGGCTGTTTTTCAGACAAAATGAGAAATTTAAACATTGTGATGTTTTGTAGATCAAACAATTATTAATTATTTGATTTAGAAAATATCACCAGTTGTTAGTCAGGCCCTAAAGTCAAGGATTGCTGTTCTACGTTTAAACATTTGCCTTGAATGTGAAGCCTGATAAAGACTGTATTCAATTAATGAACCATTATTTGTACAGTCACAAATTCTTAAAAGGCCATTTCAGTATTGTGGTTTACAATGTAACCTCACTTCTTCTGTTTTATGTTCTTACTCTCACATTGATTGGCTAACCTCTGTACTAGCTGTAGTACTGCAGCATGACGGTAAGGTTTGATCAGCTTTCTATTTGATGTATTCTTATCATAGTAAGTCATGTGAGACTGGATAAAAACTGGCTTCCTGCCGGAGTGGCTGATGGAGCTGAGTCACTCAGCATTTGGCTGTTGATGTAGCTGAAAAGGGTGGCATGACACATAAACAGTGACATTCAGAAACGCTGACATGTGCGAAAACAAGGTTTTCTATAATTCTGCAAGGATCAACTGAAAACGTCAGTAAACTTGATCGTATGAGTGTGTTTGTGATTACAAAAAGGGGCGTTAGTGTTTTTATTGTTTATCCAGAATGGCTGAAAAAAAAAAAAAAACCCTCTCACTGAAAAGAGTCACTACTGTATCGACTCTGTTGTTTAGGTAAGATATAAAATCACACATGAGCAGAGTGTTGCTGTTCAAAATCAGTACAGGCTCCACGTCAAGAATTTGAAAAAGTATATTATTATGAGATATCTTCATCTCACTACACTGTGAAAAGAATCCATAAATTAAATATTAGAGTTTTATCCACAGCTCATATAATCTCACCACAACTTGACTTCACTTCACTGTTTCAGATGAATATTGCAGTATTTCAGGCTCAGCACCCCTTAATATAAAATGTAAATCTGAATTAATGTTCAGCTGTAGATCTGCCTCCTTCAAGCTTTCACTGAACTATTATAACGGAGAAGAATGAACAGTAAATAATCCAAATGAAGCGTAAGCAAAGCTTTTCTACATTCAGAGAAATTCTTACGACTGTCTCTGTCTCTTCAGCTAAGTTGGGAGGAAACTGTCTGCAAATAAAGGTAAGGTCAGTTAATGAAAGAACATTTCCTTCAGTGTTACAGTTCTTGATTTACTGTAAGTTCTATTTTAAAACTGAATTCTACTGGAATTTGATTAATTAAAACGTAGTTTAGTCTTATTCCTCGTTCCTATGTTTAAATGTGACTCTTAAATTGAGCCTCCACAGCCAAAGAACTAACAGTAAATTTAACCAAATACATCCTCTGATTTACTGCCTTCGAAAATGTGTTCATCAAAACAACTTCAACTAACGGAACTCATCAAAACAATTTTGACTACAACCAACACCAAACCCTTTTGAGTCCTACAAAGACCTAGAAAAGTGCATTATTAAAATGATGTATTAAAAGTACACAAAATTTAAACAGTGGCACTTGTTGATACCCAGGTTGATAAATGGGGTTTTGTGCAGAGTAAAGGGCAAGAAAAAAATAACTACACCATAAATACATTTTAAAAAGATGAGTATATATACTATAAAAAAATATATAAAAGTATACAAGTAGAAATAAATAAGGAAGAGCATTAGAAAAGTCAATGCCATTTGAATCACATCTGAGATGTGGATGGTGATTCAGAGGTCTGATTCCAGGCTAGCATAGTACCGAATAAAATTACCATAAACTAATCACCAAACAGCGAACCAGCCACTTTGCAAGGTCAGTAGGTCAGTTGTTCAGCTTTGTGAAGAGGGAACGATATTCTCCTGTAGAACGTGGCGGTGAATAAGTATAAGGTAGCATCAAATTTAAATAATCAGGAGAAGTGTCGTACTATTATATATAGGTACTTGAGTAAATATGCTTGCTTGCTTTTCACCACTACCAGCTGGGCTATGAGTGCTATAATAATACAGATAATAACAATAAACACTGGTAACACTTTATTTGAATGGTCTGCCTACTCAGTGCTATAGAGTATTTGTAACATTTAAACAGGTATTAGTTGAGATTCAACTAATATTACAACAAAGTGGTTAAGGTTTGGTTAGGTTTAAGCACAAAAACATCTTGGTTAGTCTATGTTCATGAATTGTTGCATATAGGTTACTCTATGGATAATCTGTTAAACATCTGCAGACAACAGTTGAAATGTTACAAATACCCCAATAAACTATTTGTATTACCTTTAGTGTGTTATCACCTTTATTTATACAGCACTTTTGAAAACAAAGTCACAAAGAGATTTACAGGATTGAAGCAGAATTAAAAGCATTTCAGGGCTGCAAATAATACCAAAATAAAATCAGAATAGTTTTGACTGGCCAGGTATGTGCACACATACAAGGAATCTGACGTTATGTACATACCTATATACTGTCAATGGTACATACAGACACAGACTAAGCATAAATAAGCAGGACAACAAGCTCAACAAAACAGACAGAAAACTACTATGTACAGTTAATATAATATAATATATATATATACATATATAAAGATAAAATAAAGTATATAAAATAGGATAAATATTATAAAATAAAGTATAATATAATGTATTTCTGATTCTGAAACAAAAACAATAAAATTTCCAATAACGGAATACAACACTCAATAGTAATACAAGATATATAAATAAAACAGTGTTCAGGTATTAATAAAGAAACCAGAAGGTTTTATATTTTTACAGATACATTTTCTTTCTATCAATAATATTTCCGTATTATGGGGGTTTAAATATTGTTTCAAAATATTCTTCACACTGAAGGGGATACATTTCTGGTACTTAATTTAGACCAAAGGTTGTCCTTTATATATAGTCATGGAAAAAAATATTAGACCACCCTTGTTTCTTCAGTTTCTTGTTCATTTCAATGCCTGGTACAACTAAAGGTACATTTGTTTGGACAAATATAATGATAACAACAAAAATAGCTCATAAGAGTTTAATTTAAGAGCTGATATCTAGCTATTTTCCATGGTTTTCTTGATAATAACCAAAATCACTTAAGTTCTTACATCAATAGCTATGGCATTGTACTGCCAAAAACAGTGCTTTTAGGCATTCCATGTTTTCTTTCCTGTCTGTTTTAGTCACATGATACACACAGGAGTTAGTACTTGATTGTATAACCATTGTTTTTGATGACTGCAGCCACGCGTCTTGGCATGCTCTCCACCAGCTTCTGACATTGTTCTGCTGTCATAGCAGCCCATTCCTGTTGCAAAAATTCAAACAAATTTGCTTTGCTCCAGTTTGAGTTTGATGATGTTCCACAGGTTTTCAATTGGATTTAGATCTGGTGATTGAGCAGGCCAAGACATGGTTCGAATGTTCTGGTTCTCCATCCAGGCTTTAACTGACCTTGCCGTGTGGCAAGGGGCATTGTCTTGTTGGAAAATCCGGTCATTCAAGGCAGGAAAGAGTTTATCAGCTTATGGAAGAAGACTGTTTTCAAGAGTAGCCCTGTACGTGACCTGGTTCATTCGCCCTTCACACAATTGCATTTGCCCTGTTCCACCCATACTGAAACAACCCCAGATCATCACAGATTTACTGTAGGGGCAAGACAGTCTGGTTTGTAGGCTTCTCCAGGCTTCCTCCTGACCAGTAAGTTGGCTGGAGTGGGCATCAACTCAAAATTGGATTCATCACTGAAGAGAACCTTAGCCCAATCATCAACAGTCCAATCCTTGTGATCCCTAGCAAAGAGTAACCGGGCGTTCCTCTGCCTTTCGTTGATGAAGGGCTTCTTCCGTGCCCTGTGTGACTTCAGACCAGCTTCAAGAAGTCGGTTTCGAACTGTCCTTGCTGAACAAGTCATATTCCTCAACAGTGCCGGCTCATTTTTAAGGTCTCTGGAGGTCTGACGGTGATTCCTGACACAGGAACGGATGAGTGCACCGTCATCTCGTGGGGTAGAAAGACCTTTCCTGCCTCGACCAGTTGCAATTTGGTAGTACCAATGTTCGGCTTGCTTTTTCTTGGTGTAATGAACGGCTGTCTTGAAGATCTTCAGTTTTTTGGTTACCTGTCTCTCACTCATGCCAATTTCCAGCAGTGGCAAGGTGGCTGCCTTTGTGGCTTCACATAATTCTTTTTTTTTTTTAAGACATTATGTGAGAGCTGACAACTTCTGAGTTGTGCTACGGCTTGAATGTAAGCAGGAAACCACTCTAGGCCTTTGCATGTGCAGTGCTGCTTATGACATGAAATGGCCTCTGGGAATACAATTAAGCTTAAGCACGTCAAATAGGACATAAAGTTTTATGGAATCAGCTGCATTTTTTTGTCGTGTTCATTTCATCCTTCAGGTGATATACCTTTAGTGGTACCAGGCATTAAAAATGAACAAGAAATTGAAGAAAACAATAATAATGTTTTTCCATGACTGTAGATATCTGAGAAGTGCCGTGCTGCTCGGCGACCAGCAGGTGTCGCTGCAGCTGTTCACCTTCCTCGCTCCTTCAACTTCCGCTACGTCTACCTCCTCCCACAACACGGAATATGGCGGCCAGCTCAGATCGGAATCCCCCTCCTTTCCCTGCAACAGAGGAGCCTGGAGCTGGACCGTCGGACATGGCAGACGGAGACAGCGACGAGGGGGAGGACATCTTCGTCAGTAACGTTTAAAAGCTGATTCTCATGAATTAAAACCCCTGTTAGTGGCGGTTGTGTGTGCACTCAGTGAACCAGCCAGTAGGTCAGCCTCTTTATCTGATCTCACCTGGATTCATGGCATCACAAATAACTGTGAGCCACTGACTTCAGAGGCGGTAAATGTTGTACAATGTTGTATAAAAGCGACTAAATCGACGCCTAAAGTGAGCCGAAGTTAGTTCACAAGCACAAAATGGAGCAGTTTAGACTTTGTATGTAGTAAAACTTAATATTTAAGCTTTTTGTCGGCTGGCTCTGCTGCTTAATTGTTCATTTAAAGCTCTTCCAGTTTCGGTGTCCAGGTTAAACAGCTGGTATTTCTATTTTTCGTTTAAGTTTATCTATTATTCTTGCTTTACTGTGTTTGGGGGGGAAAAAAAAACAACGTTATAAGGGTCATGAGACAAGACAAGTCCTCTGCTGTCATCCCTGCAGTTTTGTGTATTAAAGTGTGTCTGTGGCTTATTAATGAGGAACCCGTGTCCCTCCCTGTCTGCAGAGTAACCCAGTGGCTGTGAGTCGAGGAGTCTCTCAGCCGGACCGTGTCAACGAGGAGCCTCCAGACCTGTTCAGTGAGGAAGAGGAGGCCAGCAGCACACCTGCCAAATCCAACGGAGTTCACTCTGATGAGGACAACGACCTGTTTGCTGGTGTGGAGACATTTTCTCTCAATTTTACCCCACTTAGTTTCGGGGTTTTGCAGTACTTGCATGTCCTAAAAAGAATTCAGAGTCTTGTGAGGTGGTTTATTTTAAGCTTCGCTCTTGCTGGACAATTTTAACTTACATCTTAAAGGTGCATTTCATTCATTTTTTTACACATCAAGTTCAGTTTATTGGTCACAAACTATGTGCATTTACTCAAGTACTTAAATACAAGATTGAGATACTTGTTTATTTCCATTTTGTTCTACTTTATACTGCACACTTTGGAGCCAATATTGTATTAATTACTTGATTTATTCGACAACATTACTTTGCATATAATTAATAAAAAATATAAATAAAGCAAAAATTATGATGTATTATTATGGATTACCTGGCAGAAAATATAAGTATTTGTAATCAGCTGCAGCATTAATGCATCACTTAATTATTACTTTTAGTATTTTTACACTGAGGCGTTGCTACTTTTTCTTAAGTAAAAGATTTGGGTGCTTCTTCCACCAGTGGCATAGTAAACACTGAACCGATTGATGTCTTATCAGTTTGGATTTGGATGGGGCTGCAACTACAGAGTACTTTGATCTTCGATTAAACCATTAAAAATTGTTGATTCATAGTCAGTTAGTAAATAGGGAAAAAAGCGTAAAAGAGAGCAGTGTTGGTCGACTGTCTCAGATATATTAAGTTTATAATTATATTATAACGGTATCATCCATAGAAAAAGCAGCAAATCTTAACATTTATGAAGCTGGAACCAGAAAGTGTTTGACATTTTTACTTTAAATGCTTGTTGCAGATTATTATTTTATTCTTTTTCAACTACAGTAATAGTTGTAACTCTAGGTTTGAGACTACATATGTATAACAGTAAGCCTTCATGATAAACTTTAGGGTTGGAGTTTGAAAGATGTTGACATTTACTAGGCAGGGGAAGTCTAATGAAAGATGTTTTTGAACTTGCATTATGCAACCAGTTATTATCCAACAAGTGGACTGTTGTGGATAAATCATGAGTAGTGCTATTGTATGACACTATGTGCGTTGTCTGATTCTGTCTAACGCACACATTAGTCATCTGTTTTCTTTCTGGATTACGAGAAGCATACATTAATCAAAAGTATATTCTGTCCCCAGAGGCACATGTGGAGCTGAGCACAGACAAGCCTGGCAGCTCAGATCGGAAAGAGCTTTCCTCCTCCTCTGGCCTCCGTCCTGCTTCCTCGTTCACTCAGAGCCCTGCAGCCATGCAGCCCACCTCCTTGGAGCAGGTACAAGCTAGAAACAATTCATTTTCATGCCTGCCCTTAGGTAAAGCCCACTCTGTAAGAGCCAAGTTCTGTCTGTTACAGCCAGATGTTCAGAGGTGTATTCTTCTTGTTAATTACAGTTGGAGGAGGACGAGGCCAAGGATAGTTTTGATGTGGATGTTGCTGTCACCAACCCGGAGAAAGTTGGTCAGTGTCTTTTCTTTTCATGCTGTCTGTAATTCCCAGTTCAATTTAAGGATGTTATTATTTGGAACATAGCTGAATAATTATAACACTTTTACAGTTGTAGCTCATTTTAGCAACTTACATCCTTTAAATGCGCTGACACATTAATTTCAGACTAAGACCTAATTAATTCTCACCTTCAATGTATCTCCAATGTTTCTGTCCTCCTAGGAGATGGCATGAATGCATATGTGGCCTACAAAGTATCCACCAGGGTCTGTAGTAAAGCTTGTGATGATACATATATTTTGTGTATTTTTACTTATAAAACTGCTAATATGTTTAAATCTTCACTGTTGTTTTTATTCTTTAATTTTATCCAAGTTCTGTCCCTTTCTTAGAGTACTGACCCTGTCTCTACTTTCAGACCTCCTTGCCCATGTTCAGGAGTAAAGCCTTCACTGTCAGGAGGCGTTATAGTGACTTCCTTGGTCTTTACGAGAAGCTGTCGGTCAAGCAGTCGCTCCTCGGCTGCATCATCCCGCCACCACCCGAGAAAAGTGTTGTAGGTGGGTGCCCAGGCCTTTTTATTCAAGTGTAAGTCTATTTTGCACTTTTTTCCCCCTTTTTTTGTGACTCTCATTTGGATCAACAGGAATGACCAAAGTGAAGGTGGGAATGGACGACCCGTCATCAGTCGAGTTTGTTGAGAGAAGAAGAGCCGCTCTGGAGAGGCAAGGATCCATACATTTTTCATACAAGGACATTATTAATGAGATGATGAATAATATTCATACTGGGACAGTTTTTCTAAATGCAGATATGTTCATGTTCCCTCCAAGGTCTTTTTAGTTACCCATACCGATGCTTTTGTTTGCATATTTTATATTTTCTTGCTCACTTTTTTTGTAGGTATCTTCAGAGAGTAGTGTCTCACCCATCATTACTACAAGATCCTGACGTCCGTGAGTTCTTGGAGAGAGAAGAGGTGGGTATTTCAAGATATAAAAAGATTTTCTAGTAGCAATAAGATAGATAATGACAAAATTCCCATTTTAGATTTAGTTATGTGCCTTAAGAAGGAATTTCTTAGTGTTTACTAGCCTATTTGTGTGTGTGTGTGTCTGTGTCTGTGTGTCTGTCTGTGTGTCTGTCTGTGTGTCTGTCTGTGTGTCTGTCTGTGTGTCTGTCTGTGTGTCTGTGTGTGTGTGTGTGTGTGTGTTTTCAGCTACCCAGAGCAGTCAGCACCCAGGCGCTGAGTGGAGCTGGCTTCCTCAAAATGATCAATAAGGCATCAGATGCTGTCAACAAGATGACCATCAAGATGAATGAGTCTGACACTGTAAGGGGACCCTGGATGAAGTGTTTTATATTGTTCAGGAGACTGTTGCACATGTGGCCTGCATATAGAGACACATTTTATAACCCTATCATAGAACTGGAAGAATCCATTGTTTGATGAACCCTGATGGATCTGTAGAGTATTTTAAAAATAATGCAGTAATATTCAGAGGTAGATAAAGACAAAAATTGACTATTGTGGGGAAATTATTGTGGTATTTCAGAGTATTTTTCAATCTCAAAGTGTTTAGTATAAATCTATCTTAATTAAACCATTTGCATTTTATAATTAATATAGAGGATTGCAGAGCAAGATAACTTATCATTACTAAATTATGTGACTGTCTTTAATGACCGTAGAGAGAAATCTTGAGTAACCAGAGGCAAAGTGTGAATTGGAGTTATACTAATTATTAATAGTTTGAAAATATAATCTAATAGCAAGACAAAAAAATCCTTTAATTCTAGATGTGATGAAGTTGTGATTAGGATTATTCATGATATTGTCCTGTTTTTGCTGCGTGCCTCAGTGGTTTGAGGACAAGTTCCAGGAGGTGGAGAACGAGGAGCAGCAGTTGAGGAAGCTTCATGCTTTGGTCGACTCCCTGGTCAATCACAGGAAGGGTGAGCTACATCTGCCCTTCTTGACTTGCCTTTGTCTGCCCAATTTTTTAATCAAATTGTTTCAACAGAGGAAACAGAAGAGTACAGTTCAGCTGCCTAGTTTTTTAGGGTGAAACAAGTAGACTGAATAGGTTTTTTGTTTCCTCCTGCAAAACCAGAGCTGTGTGGGAACACGGCAGTATTTGCCAAAAGTATGGCCATGTTGGGAAACTCTGAGGACAACACAGCCCTGTCCCGGGCCCTGTCCCAACTGGCAGAGGTGGAGGACAAGATGGAGCAGCTGCATCAAGAGCAGGCAGCCAGTGACTTCTTCATCTTTGAGGAGCTGCTGGCCGACTACATCCGCCTGCTGGGCGCTATGCGGGTGAGCTCACAGCTGCAGAATGGTAGATATACGGTTGGAAGTAGTAAAGATTCTGCTGAGGCAGAGAGGCATTAAAAAGTAACGCCTGAGTAGTTCCTGATACCGGGACTAAAACATACAAATTTAAATCTAACCCCCTTTCACTGCTATCTTGTAAAGCTGAATCACTTAAAAGGAAACTTTTCCACCTGGACCTTGTTTTCCCACGTTTTTGTGTCTAAGTGACTAATGGGGACAACAATCTTTTAAATTGGCCCAGTATTGAGTGAGAGCGTTGTAGCCTGCAGCTGCAACTTCCCGCAAAATTGCTTGTTTTTGCTACTGATCGCCTCAGATTGTTATTTTAAGTGTCTGACAACATCATAGGAAGGATCCCTACAGAGATGGACCTTTTGTGTTCAATGAGTAAGATTTTGTTTAACCAGAAACAGCCGTTATGTCGCTTTGTTTAAACCCACCAGACTCCATTGACAAAAACAGTTATTCCATAACACAGGAGTATATGGTCTACTGCTGCCTCTGTTGGTGTGTTTTATTGTGTGACTTGTGTTTTTAATCCTTTTTAATACCAAAGTAAAATTTTGTCTGTTGAGCAAGTTTTTAATGCTTCAAATTAAACTCATTGCTGCAATTGTGCAATATTTTTAATAATGTGCTGTAGATGCTATTCTCTCTGAACCCTGCACTTTATCAGAGCAACATAAAGATAGCAGGACACAATTTAATTAATAACCTTTAACATTGTGCTAGGTCACTGCTTTACTGCAGCCATGCTACCTGTTCTCTGTTTGGGATGTGGAATGATCAGGTGTTGTATTACTGTCATCTAATCTCAATGGATGCCCACAGGGGTGTTTTGACCAGCGCATGCGGGCGTGGCAGCGATGGCAGGAGGCTCAGAGCACACTCCAGAAGAAGAGGGAAGCCGAGGCCAAGCTGCTGTGGGCCAACAAGCCCGACAAACTGCAGCAGGCCAAAGATGAGATCACTGAGGTAATGGACATAGTGACCAGTCCAGTGCTTTCAACTCCATGTAAAGTTGTGTAAGGGATATGGTTCACTTGGGAAGTAGGGACCCAGCTGACTTATAGTTGTAGCCTCTTCAAAAGAGGAGAATTTTTAGTTTCGTCTGTTATAGGGATGCACTGATACCGATACCAGTATCAGGTCCGATACTGAGCCTCCGATGTACCTGTTGTGGTATTTTGGCTAGGGCCATCAGTGTATTATGTTCAATAAAAAATGATGTCAGATTATGTTTAGTGTTTAAAAGGATATCATGTATTATATTGTAGATATATAGTATATTTCATCATCAAGATATGAATACTTACTTAATCGTTTTTGCTCCTCCTCATGTATGTTCTCAGTGGGAGGCGAGGGTTACTCAGTACGAGAGAGATTTCGACAGGGTTGGAATGACTGTACGCAAGGAGGTTCTCAGGTTTGAGGTATGTTTGTGTATTTACAGTAGCTGCTCAAAAGTGTTTGTGTTTGGATCAAATTAGATTGAATGTTCTGTCAGAAATGGGCTTGAGACGTGACAACACTTTTGTCTTTTCAGAAAGAAAAAGCCAAGGACTTCAAGAGCCAGATAATTAAATATTTGGAGGCAATGCTGCAGTCTCAACAACGGGTAATCATTTAGCTATATATCAAGTGTTATATTCAACATGTACACTTTACTCAGTATGCTTTACTTTATTCATGGCTACCAAGGTGTTCTATAACATTTAATTTGGATTATTTTTATTATGATAATGACTTTTAAATATTGGTTATAATTGATATTTATTGAAAGATATTGAGTTAACTTTTTATTCCTCTCATCTTCTGTTCCAGCTTATAAAGTTTTGGGAGGCGTTCCTGCCTGAGGCAAAGGCAATAGCTTAATGAAGAGGGAGACTTTTTAAAGACCCCAACTGCCTTTTTTGAACACTTTACCTCTTGACAAGGACCTGAGAGGACAATTTTGAAATACACAAACTTCCATCCATTTTTTTTTCTTTTGTCTTTTTAATCATAGTGTATTCTCTTATTTTGTACAGTCCTTTGATATAATAAGCTGCCACATTTACACTCACTTTCTTTGGCATAGATCCTTGTTTATGTTCTTGACTTAAAGATGGTATAAAGCAGGAATCCAACAGAGATTAACCTGGCCGTAGTATTTGTAAAACCCACTGTCTGTCAGTGGAGATATATATTTATGTTTCTTGCTTAAACCAGTATATTAAAGTGTTAACACCGAGGTACTGCCCTAGAGTAACATTGTCTATAGTTTACATTAGAAGATAGATGTATGTAAGTCATTCCAGTCTCTAACAGCTTATGTTGATGAATGCATGTCAGATAATGTTTTAAATGCACTAAAATGCATTGTACAGTTGGAAAAGCTGTTTTTTTTAAAGTGAAATACCACTATTGATGACAGAAGTCATTTACCAGGAGTATTAGCACATTGTTACATTGTATCACACAATAAATATTAGATCAGAGAAATCCTGATCTAAAACTCAGATTTGACAATTGTCAGAGTTATTACAAAATGATAACAGATACGTAAGGTTACAGTGAGTAAGTTGAGAAAATGCAATCACTGCTTTGTTGGTATTTTCTACGATGATGTATTTGCTATAATCATTTTTATTATATTAATCCATTTCTTCCACGACAGTTTTAAGTACTTTAGATGTTTGGTGTCAGAGATTGAGGCCCAAAGGAACTCATTTGGAACTGCTGCAGAGATTGTTTACTGCCCGTGTAAATGACTGTTGACGTGTATGTACACATGTACAGTACTTGAATTGAATCCCACAAACACTGTCCGATAGTATTAGTAACCATACCTTTTTTGATAAATTGGTTTAACAATGACAGAAAGGCACAGACATTCAAGTGATACTGTCCCTTATTTTCTTATTCAGCATTTGTAAGTGTAGTTTTACTGTCATGTCATATTTACGTAAGAATGTGCTTTATTTTTGTAACCACTTTGCATTAGCACACACACATTTTCCTGGAAATGCTTTACAGGTAGATGTACAAAATAAATGATTGGTTAATCTTTGGGCCCTGTTTCCATGTTTGTTTCCATTTTTCCAATTGAATGTGCTGTTGATTGAAAACTTTATTTGAACATCAGTAGTCTGGTCATACTGTAGATAAACTGTCTACAAAACATTCCCAAAACTTTGTGACACAGCAAATCCACATGTTGTACCCAAACTCTAGGACACTACACGCAATTAACATAGGGCTCGTGACACAGTGTAATATCTTAAAGCAAAGTTATTCTGGTGTCAAACATATTTAAACACACAATCCTCTGCACCTCCTCAGATGCTGGTCAAGTGGAAGCAATAGAAAAGATTTAAAGATAAGTTTATTTTTTAATATTAAATTAATCCCTAAACTAAAATGTAAACCTAACTAAAGTCCTTAATGTTCAGAAAAATTTTACATTTATAATGCCATGACTACGTCTGCTAATGAGGTTCATGTGTCTAGTAAAATGAACTTTAAGGTTAGATTGTTTTGTCAACATGGTGACAAAATACAGAAATAATAATAAACCATTGCTATTACACCAAACAGAAAAAAAGATCTCATGTTTTATATGTTACATGGGTTATGCATGAACAAATCTCCTTATATTTACCAAAAAAAAAGCCATTCACAGAGGGGTACACCTGCATTTGTGATGTTAATTATGTCTGATGTCAGCTCCCTGTTAGACCTCACAAATTGTTTAAAAACTCCAAATAACAGAAATCACAAATAGACTTATTTGTGTTTAGTCAATTGTCAATAATTGATATAAAAGCATGTGAAAACCAGTTTTTAATGGTTTTTAATGTAATGCTCAATTCTGCAAAGGACTTGTCATCAATTCAAAAATCCCATTCATAAGCAAATTTCATAAAATCAGGGGGGAAAGTCATACAGCAACCTGCATCGTATGAGCACAACATTAAGATAAAAAAGTTTTTTTATTTTTAATTTTTATTTATTTTTAAAGATGCAGAATGACACCCAGACGTTTTTTTAACATTACTCTTACATCCAACGGTGTGACACTTAATTAACCCTGTATCAGTCTGACCTGGAAGTGTGCGCGGTGAAGCGGGCGGTGCCGCGTTTCTACATCCGGTGTGTTCGAACCCTTTCACGAGCAGCGGAGACAGACGAACAGCGGGAGAGATGGAGAGAGAGAGAGAGAGAGAGAGAGAGCGGCTAACCGAGAAACACCAGTAACAACAAGTAACACCGGGGGGGGAAAGAAAGACTTAAAAAAAAAAACCTTACAGTTTACAAGCTCCGGGCTTTTTCCTCCTCTTCTACGTTTCGGGCGTGACAAAATACCCAAGCTGTGTCCCCTGGTCGTCTGGATTTATCACAGCGAAGGTGAGCCTGTTGTGTTTTGTTTTGCGACGAGCTAGCAAACCAATATTTCATAGTAAGGTTTCTGTTTTTTTTTTTTTTTTTTTTTTTGGGGGGGTTTGTTCGCTAATATTTTAGTTGCTAACGAGGCCAGCTGTCAGCTAGCCATCAGTAAGGTGTTTGCTAAACCAAACAAGTGTGTGTAGTTGCTTTATATTCTGTGTTGCCTGTTAACAAACACGTTGTTGTGATTGACGAGGGGTTTGCAGGATGTGTTGTAAGCCAGATCACATAATGTGTTTGGCTAACGTTAGCTTTGTTAGCAGGCTTTTTAGGTTTGCAAGCTGGGGAGCTAACTGGGCTAACGGTTAGCATGGTTCGCCTACCAAATCGACGTGACCATCACTAATGTTACACTACCAAGGCAGGCTTTGTCCATGAAACGCTGGTGTACAGCTGCCAACTCGCTTCCTTGTTTTGACTCAACCGGAGGCCTTGCTTTTTAAAAAAAAAAAAAAAAAAAAAAGGGATCGATCATCTTTGTATTAGCCTCTGCTCCCTTTTCTACCCAAACACTTTCTCACACATAAAGTGTTGCCACTGCCTCTCCGTGCAAGATATAAAAGGGATGCCAAGACAGCAGAATATCACATTTTGTGAATTTAACCAAGGCCCCTTCCTCAGCCTGGTCACTGTGGGCAGAGTTGTGTTGAAGCATTCAGCTAACTGTTGCAAGTTTACCAGGTGCAGATGTTGGGAGTAAATGTCTAGTGAAATTGTTCCTCCCCATGTAGATACAATGCAAATTTCCATGGCTCGTTGTCAGATAGGCGTAGATACAGCACTGTCAATGTACATTTCCCCCTTGCTGAACTGCATACATGGCCTATAACTGAATCAATACAGTGTGGCTAGTATTCAGTTACCCTCCATCTAGTAAAATAATTGATTATCCCATTTTCCACTAAATAACACAGTGCAGTGGCGTGCTTTAACAGAGCAGTGCAAACCAGTTCTGAAGTTGACATTTTTATTGAAATATATGTTAGTAGCTGGGCTTTTGCACGAACTAGGACTGTGTGGTTCTATGGTGGATTAACTTTAGTATCCTTTTTTAAAAAAACAAAAGGTGTTCTGAAGGAAAAGCTGAAATGAAATAGTTTCTGTGTTGCATTTACTGAAAAGGTCATGATGAAGTAGAACAGTCACTACGTGCAAGCATCAGCAAACTCACTGGCCTCAATTTAGGATTAATCCACATGTAGGTAAAAACAAAATGCGAATATACATTTGCATTTTCATTCAGTTATGTCTAGAAAATGTTTTAATCAATGCAGATTTTGCAGGTTATTTGCTTGACAAAGATGTGCTTCCCTTCGTCATAAGAGCCGTTAATTACCACACAATGTAGACCACCTCAGTAAAGTTCAAGTAAGCTACAAAATGGAAGATGTGTTTCTGCAGCTCATGCAGCAGTTGTAAGATTTGTTGATCAAATGCTTACGTGGATAAATGAGATCATTGTCATGTGGATGTGGGTGCGCACAACAACAGTCATTTATTCGTGTGTCTCTATGAATTTGTGGAGAAGGAAAGCTACAGATAATCTCAATTCCCCCCCAGTTACAGTTCATAAGAGCTGGCTTTAAGGAGAGAGGCAGCTGTTGGCTGGCACTGCCACAGTAGGAGTCTGCACTATTGGCAGGCCCCCCTCTCAGGCTGATCTTTCCACTGAAGGTTAATCACTCCACTCAGAGCCTTTGTTTCTGTAAAAATGAAAAGATGTCAACAGATTAGTCATTTTAAATAGATGCTAATCAGCTAGAAGCGTCTCAGTTTCTCAAGATATTTTGACAGGCAAATTTGTAGACTGTAATCAAGGTTTTTGGAGTCGTAAATACATTTTCAATGCCACCTCAGTGTGTTTCTGAAGGAAATATACTAGTGCTGTAAATATATTAGTGCTGGATTTTGAAACTAGCTATTAACCAATTATATCAACTATCCTGAACTCATGTAATGTTTATTCTGTCATTACCAGTATCCTTCAACAAACCCTTTTACCACTTTTCGTCAGTAAGTGTCGCCACTATGGTTTTGTGCCTGTGGTTAGACAATAAACAGTTGTGTTTTTTTGTTTTGATACTGTCTCCACATCTCACGAGAATATTGTAACATCATTGTGCAAACAATACTGTCATAATACCCTGTTTATATATTTCTACAAACACCATATTCCTGCTTCATCATTCCAGTCAGGCTAGAACTATGAAATAAAATAGTCTGATGCATATTTTCAGCTGGAAGAATATTGGCTATGTGACACTGATATGAGGTCAGCAGAAGTTACTGTCTGCAGTCTCAATTCTGAGAGCATCTTCAGTAATATGACACATTTCTTGTTCACGCACTGTGAGGCTCATTCAAAAGTGGGTTATCGTCACAGTAGACGAGAAATGAAGATTAAAGAGTGTATAATAGCTTATCAATTAAATAATGAATGCACTTTTTAGGAAGCAAAATTGGTGAGAATCTAATGTGTAAATTCCAAGAATGTAAAATGTTTGTTTTTTGGGATTTAATGTTAAATTGGTTAATTTAATCAATACACTTAAGGGTGTTAATATTCCTTAAGCACTCATACAGGCCAAGCTAGAATTAAATTAAATGCTACTAGCCAGATGAGCACTATATCAAGCTTCAGGCTGTGCCATCATAAATCTATACCACCGTCAAACAGGCAGCCACATTTACCACTTTATCTGCTCCAGCCTAGCACAAAACCAACTAACACATTCACTTTGAAACTCTACTATGACGTTCAAAATACAAAGCATGGACACAGAGAATCAGTTCTCATTTAAGACTGTTTCTGAACTGTCTGATTCCTGGTGGTCATGCAGCTCAGACAATATCAGTTCCTTTTATTTATGCTTACACATTGCTTGCACCAAAGCGTTTAAATGTCAGACCAAAAGCGTTGTAAAAAGGAAAGTTTTTTTTGAATGTATGGACACATTTTACCACGCTGGATGAGAACTAAACACTTTATCTGCAGAACCAATTTTAAGTGAGACATATACTTAAATATGTGACATTTATACATGACATTTTGAATTACCGTCAAAAAAAGAATTGCTTAACGAATCAATGAAGCCCGTTTGAGACCAAAGATTCACAATGAGACGTAACTGTTTCAGACCTGTCACACCTCAACTCAAGCCGACTGATGGCATTTGTCTGCGACCCGGCTCGTCAAATGTCCAGAGGCTTGTTTAAGAACGTACCACACAACAGCTCGTAGCGAAGTCAGCTGGTCAAGTCGGTTACAAACTGTCAGCTAGTCAAAATGCAGTTTCGGACAGAGGAAAGAGAGCAGCATCTCATTCATTTATTTGAGGAATGACTGACACGACCCTAGAGCCTCTTGTTCTTTATGTTTTTGCCGTTTCATCAATAAAATGTAATAGGTAACTCGATATCACTATCCTCATCCATATTGCATATGCAAATATATCCAGCACCAAAAAGAAAAAGAAAAAAGCATGACAAGTTTCATCTCGCCTCGCCGCAAATCTTTGGTTGGAACTGGGCTTAAGGGTCGATAAGCTAAATCTGCAATGGGATATGAATTTATAAAATCCTTTCATGACTTCTCCTTCTGACAAACTAAATTACTTTCATAGGATGCCAAAAGGTGTGTATCCTCGAACTCATATATCAGAAGACATGGCACCTCCACAGGGATAAAGGCCGGGGATTCCCCACCTTACATCAAAACTGAAGAAGCCATGTGTACAGACAGACGTTTTCTATTCCGCAGTAACAGTCCAGTGTATTGCTTGAATTTGTCTTTCCTATATTAATTAGGTCTGAATTAAATATACTGAAATTCTATGCAGTTACAGCATAATATTTATTTTGCATATCTGATATACACACGAGGTGAAAAACACTCTGTAGGGGCAACTTCTAAAATAAGTTGCCCCTACTGCCACTTAGTAGGCCCTGAAACAACACGGTAGGGTTAGGTCAACATTTACAACATAGTTTCAGCTTTGAACATTTACAAAGGCAGTAGTTATTTTGGGGTTATTATATTGGATTGCATGTTACTTTCTCCACCCCTGTAAGGTAAATAAAACAAGATTTCATTTGGACTCTCCTATTCTAAAATGTGTGTTGGAAATGGGGTGACAAGACCTTCCTTTTGATTTGGTTTAGTTTGGGCTTTTTTCAGTAAATGAACACATATTTAATAATGAGCACATAACACCAGAGGAAACAATACACAAGTAGATGAACGATGCCTAGGGGCTCATTATAGTGTGATACGCCTTTTGTAATTAAAGGTTGCAGATGTTTTGCTATCCTTCATGAAGTACAGTTTTGCTGCCTTAGATAGTATGAATGAAGTTCTTGTCCCACATCTTTATTTTTCCATCCTAATCCTCAGTTTAGGCATGTCTGAACATGTTCAAGATACACGTAGGCTGTGGTGATCTTAGCCTTCTAGTAAAGCAGATGCATAAAACAGGAAAAGAAACTGTACATTCTATTTTGTCTCCAAAAAATAACGTCCTTTCAGTTTACACCATGTACAAAGTCTGTCAACATTTTTTGCCAGATAGGGCAGCACCTGTAACAGAGGTATTACTGTGCAATTCAACATCAAAATAGCTCTCTGACTGTGAGGAGAAAAAACACTATTTAAAGTGAAGTTTGCATATAATTTGCTCCAAACAAACTAGACTAAAACCAAAAGAAGAACCAAAAACTGGCCTTGTCATCTTTAAACAATGAATTATCTCTCATGTCTCAAAACAAAATAGATATATATTTTTATGTCATTATTGTGGAAATGAGAAAAGTTTTCAAATGTTTGATCAGTCTTACTTTACAAAAATACCTATACAAACGATTTGAAGCCAGTTACAGTTAAAGGATATGACCCATCCCTTGAAAACATATCCCATACTCAAATAAACATTACAATCTTATTGAATTTTCAATGTAACCTTAATATTGTAGTAACAATTTAAATAAGCTGAATGCTCTGTTTATCAAGACTACAGTGCTGTAGTTTAGCAGTGATGTGAATCTGCAGTGGCAGTCTGGGCTACGTGAGCAGCAGTGACGACCAGGAAATCAGTGATAGTAGTCTGGTGTGAAGGGCTGAACGCAGGTTGGGTGTGTGTTTATTATCCTGCATCCATCATCTTCCATCATGAGAAAAAACATAGCTGAGCTAATCTGAACACCAGCGCACGATGGATTAGAGTGGCCTACAAATGATTATTTGCACAATGGAAACTGTTACAGCTCACCGTTGGTCTTTGCTGCAAACCTGTTTTATAGCCATGTTGTTCTGTTCCTGGTTTTATGTAATAGCAACAGTGCACAGTTGCCCTTGAGAGCAAACTAGCTGTCTTTGATGCTGAGATGTGGCAGGCAATACTGAGCATGAGTCATCCGGAAGCCCACACACAAATACTTTTCAACAGCAGCCTTTCCATGCTCAGGAATTACAGCATTGTCATGAAAACATTAATAGCTGTTGTTGTTTTTTTTTTATTGAAAACATAAAATGTTGTTTTTTTTTAATGGAAAATTGTTTCTTTAAATAAATTATATATAATTGAGGTGAATAATCCATGTAACTGGTAATCTGCCTAATTTATAGTAACATTTTGTCTGCAGCTTTAGTAGAGCGACTTGCTGAAGAATACGAAGTCCCCAGAGAGCCCTGCAGTTGATAAACATCATATGTCTTACTGGTTGCACACCAAAGTGCCCTTATAATCGCATCATTTAATATTTACACATTTCTTGCCTGTGGTACAAGGGGGTAGGTTGAATCATAAAATATTTTGCTGAGCACTTGACAAAATCAGACCGGTGTCCATTTAGTTAAGCTATTGTGTCCTTGCGAGCAGACGTAGCTTTATATAATTGTTTACATAATATTCCCCTGCTGACATTGTCTGCCAGGCTATAGCTGTGGGTGGTGGAGAGTCTTAGATGCCTTCATGATCACAAACTATGACTTAAGGCTTGTGTTGATGCTGAAACTGGTTGCTGTGTTTTCTGTGACCACTGTGACTTGATGACTATCTCTTTAGCCCCGCGGCGCTGTTACAGTAAGCCAGTCCTGTCCTCGTTTAGCATTGTGTACTTGTAAACAGTGATTTAATGCATTTACATGACTCATGAGCTTCAAAAATGAAATTAAACCTGCTATGTTATGGTGAATTTAAATTTAGAATATATTCAGCTGTTAAAATGTGAAACTGCAGAGCTTACTGGTGACATCATATGTGGTCCTGAATATTTATCTTTGCTTTAGAAACCTTTGGTAAGAGTTAAAATAAGCAAATGGAGCTTTTTCCTCAACTCTTAAAATTGAATGTCCAGCCAAAGGGCCATGTAGCCGCCCCACCATGCCTCACTGTCCGTGTAGTGCATGAATGACATTTTTTGTCAGATTTTGCTGCACATTTCTTCACATAACAGTAGTGAAACTTAAATGACAAAATATCTGCCTCACACTCAACCGGAGCACCTGATCATTTTTGAATATTTTCAGCAATTTCTGGTTTAATTTACTTTATTGTGTTGTCTGTTCCCTTCTTGAGGCAAGGAGGCATGTTTTTAAAAATTGTGACTAAAAGGTCCTTAGTGTGGAAATTGGCATTTACAAGGTCTGCAGTGCCAGTGTTATCATGAGGCCTGGTTGTTTTTATTATGAACCCGACTGAGGAAATATCAGATCCTTTCAATCTAATTTTGAATGTCATAATTTTCTGGTTAGTGTTTTTTATGCTTTTAGAGCCAAAAGGACTAAAGCTAAAACAAAGAGATCAGCCTGCCTCTTGAAGTTGTATTCTGAAAGCCAACATTTCGTTGTGGGATTTTATCAGATTTACACGAGGAACTACACTACCATGTTCCATGTGCTGCTCTCTGTGGAAAGTCAATGTCTTCTTCCTTTCTCATGTTTTATTGTGTTTGTTACAGGTCTTCCACCTTCTCCTTCCTGTGACAGATGTTGAGAACAGAGATCAGCCTGTTCAGCAACTGTTAGAGGTGACGGGTGAGGACGGGGAGGAGTGTCTGTTAGCTCTACCAGGTTTTGTCTCATGAGAGTGACTGTGCCATCCAGGCACTGTCAGTGACCAGGGCTGTGGCTGTGGTGGGCCCGGCCCAGGAGGCCTTTTTGTACATCACTCCTGGCTCCCGCTGACCTGTGCTGCTCACACCATGGATCAACAGAGGGATAAATATGGCGAGCGGCCCACTAGGGCCGCCAAAGTTTCCCAGGGTAACCGCAGTGGACACTCGTCCCGACCATCTGGCTCCTCCAGCTCTTCTGGGGTTCTCATGGTGGGGCCAAATTTTCGTGTGGGCAAGAAGATCGGCTGTGGAAACTTTGGTGAATTGAAGCTTGGTAAGTTGAGACTAAATCTTGTATTAAATGGTTCAAGACACAACGGAAAAATTGATTGATGTGAATTTCAGAGTTTTTATTGCTGTTCTTAATTGTTCTGTGTCTAACTGTACTCAGTAGTTTTGTTGAATTGTATTGCATTATATGGAGAGATGTTTCTAATATCTTGTCTATCCCATTTAAATGACTCACGGTCGGTTCACAGAGAGACTCAATATTGGAAACATCTCTCAGTGTAATGTAATACGGTACTATAAATTAAATAAACATATATTCAGCCAAAATCTCTCAAAAAATCATCCGGTCAATCAAAAGAATTTTCATGAAGGATTTCATTCATTTTTTTGCGGGGCTGTATTAGACTGTATTATCTGTGGTTAAGTGTACCATGAAAATTAGTGTATATTCATAGTAGAACTGGAAAAAAGGTGATTGGATTGGATAATATTCTGTCATAGACCTTTTTATATATGGACCTTGTAAAATGTGCAGGAAAATTAAATGGGGAAAATCTTGACATCACTTATAGAGTTGATTATTCCCTTGTGAAACAGCCTCAAGGGGTGTACTTTATTTCTCGAAACCGCCTAATATAACCTTACGCATTTCTTATTTCAGGTAAAAATCTCTACACCAACGAGTATGTAGCTATTAAACTGGTAAGTGCACACTTTTTTTTTCTGCTTGATTCTTCACCTCTGGGGCCTGATACAGCATATTATAGAAACCATCCAACCAACCACCATTATTAGACTCCTTGTGATGCTGATTATTGCACACAAAAACATTGTGGTGTTTATAGAGGAAGTTTTTCAGGTTTTCCAGTCCCAACAGGGTCAGACACACCCTTGGAGAGGGCTAACTGCTATTTTAACTGGTATTTGCTAGTTTGTTTTCCTCTCTAGTCAGTGGTCTGTGGTGTAATAGCTCTGTCAGAATATGAAAGTGAAACTAAAGTACTTCTGGCATCGCACCTTGAGCTGTCTTGCGAACTTGCAAAGACTTCTAAAATGTTCAACTAGCTATAAAATCTGCACATTTTTCATTACTGTTTGCTGTTGATTTTCATAGATATGACTCTTGGGTTGTACCGGACTGAGACAAATGTGAATGAGGTGTAGATCCTTGGCTAGGTGTGTCTTTCCAGTTGCTGCTGGACTGGAAATCATGACTCCTGACTCATTCTTTTATTATTGCTCACTAGAGAGTAGTAAAAACGATAGCTACAGTATCAAGCCAAAATGTTTTCCGCCGCTTGCACTACTGTAAGGTGTGTGCTGACACTGATGTTGTGCTTTTTATGCAACTAAGATATATATTTTGGGGAGAAATTAACTGGGAAGACAAATTTGGGGGCACTGTTGGACACTCTGGGTTGTGTCTTTAGTTCCTACTCGGGTCAGTTTCCCAAACATTTATTTTTTTTAAAGTATATTTTTGGGGGCTTTTATTGCCATTTATTGTAGTGACAGCTGAAGATAGACAGGAAAGGGGGGCAGAGAGAGGGGATGACACGCAGCAAAGGGCCGCAGGTCGGATTGAACCCTGGGCTGCTTCAGCAAGGACTCAGCCTCGGTACACGGGTCGCCAGCTCTACCCACTGCGCTATCCGGGCGCCCAGTTTCCCAAACATTTGATCGGAAAATGACTTATTTTCCAGGCAATGTTGAATTTAACTAAATTATTGTCAAATAGTTTTAATGAGATTTAGCATTTCCCCACATTAAATGGGATGTTTTGGTGAAGTATGGTGGAATGTTTTTAAGTTTGATGGATGATTCAGACAATGGAGGAGTCCACCATCTCCTCCAACAGAGTCTTCAGAGTACAGATGAGAGACATGTGACAGGACATGATTTATTTGTTTGATCTTATGGTAGAAGAGAGAGCTGCTAGCGATGTTTGTGGAAACTGACACTCAAATACACATAGTGCCATTATGTTTGGTTGACCTACTAGTGTTACATGATGGGAGGCTTTTCCTGGATCATCAAAAATTCTGTAATCACATTATGTTGGCTGGCATGTTTGTATATGCCCTGAAGATGAGTCATCAAAAAAATGTTGACACAGAAGAGCCGTTTCACTTCTAAAAGGTCCAGTGTGTAACATTTAGGAGGATCTACTGGCAGAATATAATACAAAAGTAAAATTAAGGTTTTTAATTAATTGTTTCAATTAGTGTATAATCACCTGAAAATAAGAATTATGTTTTTGTTACCTTAGAATGAGCCCAGAATGGACAAACCAAACACTGGCTCTTGATAAGGCCTTTCACAGGTTTTGTGGCCACCGTAGTTTCTCCTACCAGTTAGTTGAGGCGAGCGGTTACAGTTGGTTGCAGTCTGCAACGTCGCCACTAGATGCCACTAAATCCTACACACTGGTCCTGTGTGGAAAATCCATTCTTTGTTTTTTCTTTGATTTAACATATAAAGTAAAATTCAGTTTTAGGAGGTTTGTCTGTTTGTGAGGTTATTGTCATTATCTGAGTTCTTGTTTGGATGTGTCCACTGTGCAGGAACCAGTGAAGTCGAGGGCACCACAGTTGCATTTAGAGTACCGGTTCTACAAAACACTGGGAACTACAGGTAAGGTCACAGATTTGTCACTCCTTGTGGTGTTTTTGTGTGTGGCTGCATGACAATGATTTGACTGTTTTGGAAGATCAGCACAGAAGATTGCATCATTTCCACAACAAGTGATTACTCCACTCAGGTTACGTATTGATATTAAGCTGGGTCAGCAATTTATTTTAATCTCCAAGACTTTGTGTACACGAGTGCGTGGATGGCTACGTGCATAGCGGGCGTGTTGAACAGTGACCTTGCTTGACGATACTTTGACCAGCGGTGCAATTCAATATGAAAGGTGTTGACATAAAGCTTCTTATACGCTTACAAAACAGATGTAGCAGCGGATCTTTTTTTCCCTATTCACTGAAAAGACTTCCTTGTTGTTGTCTAGGCAGAATATGCAGGAGGTTTTGCAGAATATATTTGAGGTCGTAACTTATATTCAGTGCTCTATGTCTCTGCCGTCATTGGTGTCTTGTCTGCAGTAGCCTTAACTCACATCTCCGGTTGTGACTGAGCCAATAATAACTTAAACATAATGTGTCAGTATGTCACCCTGGCTTAGTGTGGGTCTCCATAGGCTAAATCTGAATGTGTTAGAACATGTCTCTATGTGCATACTGAATAACTAAGTGACTTAGTATTAAATAGTGTGAATAATTGTCCTTTCTTTTTTAAATCTACAATGATTTGTTACTTGGTGGCTGTGGAAAGAAGCTGTGAACACAACACTGACATATTACCACCATGTTGAAGATGGCATAGTACATACAGTTGCTTATTTACACATCCAGCAGTCGCAGAGCAACCTTATTGTTCATTTGGAGTCACGTTTCTAGAAACCTGGTGAATATGCATCCAGTAATCACTCACCTTTCAACTCTGTTCTATTTTTTTCGTCTCCACCAAATCCTGAGAGATTTACACTAAATGCTCCACAGTTTTCATCAGCTAGTCGTTAACTTTATTCTTTTTTTTTTTTTTTTTACCAAAAAGTTGTAGGCTGGAAAACCAAAACAATGAGTTGAAAGACGCTATAAAGCGCGTATAAAACTATTGATTATAGTGGCATTAAGGAAATGTAGCATGAGCTGTGATCTTATTGTGCACATATCTCACAAAAAATACATATATCCAGTATGAAGCAGGCTTATACATTGTTATGGTGCTGCAGGTAGCTAAGGAATTTATTTATTTATTTCTGTTGTCTTATTAAAACACCTAGGAACTGGGTTACTTTCACTGCATGAGGCTAGATCATGTGGTTAAAGGTTAGTGATAATCCATGTCATCAGATGGTCTTATTATGGTATTATTTTATATATTTAATATGCATGCGTTAAGATACCAAGGAACTGTGGTCATTCAGCCAATATCACTGCTGAATGATGATTTTCAAATTAATCTATTACTAATGTGTATCTAGTGCTCATGTATTGGTTCTGATGTTCGGTTACTGCAATCAGTGAAGCCCAAATGACTTTAACTCGAAAATGTACTTTCTCCTGATACCTGACCTGTAGTATTATATCTTGCAGTTCATTAAATGGTTATTTTTATCATTGTTCAAAATTTTATTTACTATTGTTCACGCATAATGGCTATTGGTAGCTGTTTCTGCCCTTCATGTTGTTGTTGCGTAGTGATGTCAAAACTAATGGTACACATTAACACTGACGTGGCGGTATTTGTCTTTTTCCAGGTCCTCATTTTCTGGAGTCGTGCCCTTTAAACTTTGTTATTCCATGTTCATAATGGAGAACAATTCAATAATAGTTGCTTCTCAACTTCTCTTCCCTTGATTCTGCTCCCTTGAGAATTTCTCGGTTTGTCATAAAAGATTAGTCAAGGTCTGCTGACGCATCTCTGTTACAGCAACGACTGACAAGAATCTTGTGAGGATTAAATAACTACAACAGAGAAATAAATGAAGGGCACATTTTTTTTTTATTCTTGGTACCAGAGGAAATGGGTGGGGACACTAGAAACAATGGAACAATAGAAAAATCTTTTTTAATAGATGTTCGTTGCTCTTCTGGTAAAATGGTTAAAATAATACCGTATGCATTGCGCTGGTTGTCACATGAATACACTAAATACACCAAAATACACAATTGTAGCCAGTGATTTATAAGCGAAAAGTTTGATCATGCTGCTTGTTAATTTATTAATTAAGGTTTTCCCCACAAATCAGTTAAGTCACAGTGTTGCAGTTTAGGGGAGGCCTCCGTCACAGTTTGGCATGGAAAATAAAAGCCACCTTTGCGTAATGTATGGTCCTTGATGTTCTTTTTAGAGCTCTACATGCATATATGATAACCAGACTGGGAATATAATGGCTATTGTTTTGCAAAGGCAAGGGCTGGAAAAGGCCAACTGTGCGGAAACTCATTAAATATTTAGAGAGTGGGTCTGCCTCTCTTAGTACTAACCTGCCTCTGTCCTCTCCTCCAGATGGGATAACGTGACCTCATTTCTTCTTGGCTGTGTGCTGTGCCACATTCCTCTCAGCCAATGTGGTTGTCACAGTGTCTGTGCGACAGGGTCTTTATGAATTAATGTGGTTTGACTCAGTTGCTCAATCAGGTGTTGTATCTGGTGCATAACCAACTGTCACTGGATATTAATGAGGATGATTCAATTAGGAATTAAGCATCTCATTCCAGATATTATGTGAGAATATTTCTCAGTGTAGTCAATAACTGTTTAATTGCAGCTTTGGTTTTACAAGACAGCAGACAATGAGACATTATTGTGCCAAGGACAAGAATGGTTTTGAAGATCAAGAGGGTTTGTTCAAGGGTGGGTTGGACACTATTGAGCTGTCGAAGGTATTGGCAGCCAGGCTTCATCATGAAACACTACACCAGCTCTGTGACTGTTGCAATCCCAAGGAGTAAACATTTCCCACAGCGACACAGCTTACTAGATTTTACAAACATGTAAAGGAAAGGTCGGAGGTCTTATCCGGGATATCTGTTCCCACTAATGTGAAAACATGGATCATTGATAAGAATAGAGCTTCTCCCACTGCACTGTTTGCATCGAGTGAAAAGCTCAGGCATGGTGAGAAACTAGGGAGGAGTGTTTTTGTAGACTTTAATTTTTTTACAGCTCTGTAGTCTTATCAGTTATTAGGGGATAGATTTCAAAAATTATAACGACTGCATCAACAGAGAAAATATATTTGTACAGTTGTATTTGACACTGATATGTTACTTTATTCTTTGACATTTATGAATCTCAGACTTGTCATGATGACTGCACATGAAAAAAAAAAAAAAAGAACTCCTATTTTAATTAAAAACTTCCTTTTAATGAGAAAATAATCTCCACCCTGGTTACAGAATTGATAATGTTTGCAATGTTTCAATTGCTACATAACAATGTCATTGTCTTCTGTTATTTTGGCTGCGATCACGTCATTATGACTAAGCAGTCTGTCGTGTACATTTCCTTGTGAAACATGGACGGGCATTGCAGCCATACAGTTTACAACGTGAAAGCTTATATTTGTGCATTACATAAAGCTGAGGTCATGCTGTTAATTGACTGAACTCTAAAACATGCACTTTAAATTGAGATTTAAGGATTCGCCTGTGCCAAGTAGCCAGTTTTAATGGGCACTGAAGAAACAAATTTAGTCTGTAAAAACAAATTGCACTGGTTCAGACACTTGAACATTTTGTACATGTCTCTCTCGATAGAATGATCTTATGCAATGTTTGTTTGTACACCTGAGTTACAGTATAATTACTAATGTTTATTTCTTTTCAATTTAGTTTTCAAGTAGAAAAACCTTTAAACTTATTTGTGGACACAGTTTTGCATTGAAGTTTTATTGCGTGAATTAGTCATATGGTCAGTGGTTGGGAATTTTCCCTCCTTTACCAAATTGTAAAAGAATTCATAAAAAAAAATATATATATTTGAAACAACAAAACCGAATAGCTGGTTCTGTAGTTCTGTCGAATGTAAATGAATGTGACAAAATGGTGCAGTAATCAAATAAATTATCCAACAAATGAGCAGATTGACAATCAACAAAGCAGGTTTAGGGAAAGCAGCCACTGAACTGAAGCAAGCCAGTAAATTCTGTATGTCTGTCAGAAGTGTAATTTGAGTAACCAATCAGAGGCTGGAGCGATCGTGCAGGGCTCGTGCAATCAGAAGTGGATCTGCACAGTGCACAAAACATGCTGTGAGGCAGGAGCTGGCTGTAGTCCACAAGAGGCATAGAATATTCTATAGAGCCACTGCAGAACCAACATGAGTAGCCCGTCTTTGCTTAGTCTCCACTTCAGTAAAAAAACACCTGTCATAAATTTACAGTGCGGTACAATGGGGTCCACCCTGCACAGGTAACCACTTTTCTTACTCTGTATATATATATATAGAGTAAGAAACACATTGACTGTCACACCTACAGTCAATTTAGAGTCACGATTTCATCTAACCTGCATTTCTTTGGACTGTGGGAGGAAACCCACACAGGCACGAGGAGAACATGCAAACTCCACACAGAACGGCAGAATACAGTAATAATTTCTGTAATAGACGCCATTTTCGTCCATTATTAAAAAAAAAAAAATGTTGCCACCATACACAAAGAAATCAGTTTTTAATATTTCTGCATAGCACTTGTGATGTGGTGTAGTGTTGCTCTGGCTTAAACATGTTATAATATGGAAATGCAACATAAAATAAGCCTACAAAGTATTGAGACAAAAGAAATCAAATATGACAGGTAAAAATAAAGTGAGTGATTTTTCTACAACCCCTTTCGTCACAGTGATGGATACATTATTAATAACAGAAAAACTGCTACCAGATGGTCAAAATAAAACATCTTAGCGAAGGACTGCTCTCATCACAGTCCAGAAAAAGATATGGTCTTTGACAGCGCCTTGAAAAATTGCACACATAGAAATAAGTGTGTGGGGAGATTTGGGCGAGTGCCTTTCAGTTCTATTCATTCATCACACATTCATCTTGTTCCCCTTTTGTTGTAAAGGACTGCAGCCAGCACCTCTATCAGATTATAGTAATGCATAGGAAAATGTATTTGTGCTTTTATACAATACAGGTTTTATTCAGCTGACAGAACTGGTACATTTGGGAGAGTCTACAGTTACAGCCTTTTGTAGTTATGATTTCTATACTGATGTGTTTTTCTTATCTTAGCACAGACCTGCTACTCTGAGTGATGATATAAGTATATGTGATATATGATATTTATCAAATATATAACTGTATAGTATATATTCTTAGCATATGAAGTCCATTAAAATTACTAAAGCTAACTCTACAGTCAAATATTGTTATGTCTGTGGGGTCTGGAGTGTCAGTCTGTAAGGTTTGAGCAGGATTTGAATAGACATCACCCCCAGCATGAACTACATACTCAAGTTCAAAAGCTTATTTAACAGTCAGAAGCCTTTTTTGAAGAATGGTACCTGCAAGATACTGATCCAGTAGAGGCAAATCCACCTTTTTAACCAGCACTGTTCTGCTCTTTCACTCACCGATGCATAATGTCAGTGTGTATGTTCTTTTGAAACTGCTGTTTGTTTGTCTATGCTGCATGCCATTCACTTGCAACACTGTAGAAATGTCTTCAAGACCAAGTCAGTACTTCACCCAGGCATCGCTCTCATTATTTTTTAAGAAAATTGGATGAGAGAAGTCAAAAGTGGTACCTAGAAAATTGGTAGCTTCCATCAAAGGTTGAGTCTTCCTGTACAATTAGAGTATACTTTGCACTGCAGGACACACAGATTCAATCTCTTATGAGGACTGTTTTTCTATACATAATGATGGTTCCACAATCTCTGCTTTTCCTTTGCTACTAAAAAGCTAGACCAACCTTGTTTTCAATTGAACAACCGTTTATCCATTTATTTACAGCACATCTCCAATCTGACACATTTTTAGGCCTCCCACAGGCACCCAGGGTTTCAAGGCACTCATTCCTATGGTACAATTAGCAACCCACAGAACTGCATAATGGTGTCCAGAAACACAGGATGGAGCACAGCATGACTCCTACATGCCCATATGCTAGCTGACAGCATTTACGCCACCTTTCATGCTGCAGTGTATTTCCCATTACCCAGCTGGCAAGTCAGATGTCTTCATCAGCATATTCAATATGAATTTGTAGTAGTATTAGTATTTAGCTTTCTGATTATTATACTCTGCTTGAGCTACTTGAGCAGAATGATAAGTTTATGGCGGCAATTTGGTCCCTTCACTAAACTTTATTGTGCCCACTCATTTCTTCTGTCATCATCTGTCTCCTTTGTTGTGGTACACAAAACATGAATGAACTCTGTACACAACCAATATAGTGTGGGCTGGCAGCCTGTCCAACATTTTCACCTGTGGGGTGTGTGTGATTGTTTGTGTGATTGTGTGTGTGCACAGAAGAATTAAATTAATGTTCAAACTTGTACATAGACACATCTAGTACATATGTTAAGGGCAGAACCAAAATGTACTGATCTAGTCGATGGCTGTTACTAAAACGAGTTAGAAATGTAGTCTTAGAGCGGCACTGATCAGTATTTTTATGTTCACAATGTCAGCTCATTGTTTTGATTTTATAGCCAGCAACTTAACAGTATTTGTTCACTCTCCAGCATAGACTAGTCAAGTCTATGTCATTAAGTGACATAGTCAGAATAAACTAGCAGGTGAACACAATGGAACATTAAGCAGCTCATGAGTTGGCGGAGACCAAAACAAAGAAAGAAAAAAGTAAATAATGGACTTTTCCATTCCAGGTGAAACACGACTCCAAATGCATGGTAATGCTGCTCTATGACCTGTTAGTGTGTAAAGAAGATAATATGTCAAGGTTGTCTTTCTACCAACTAAGTGGGCACAAAAATTTATTAATGCAGACTTAAATTTTAGATTTTACAATGAAAACATTCATTCAGATATGATGAACAATGGAAATATGTATACAACTACATATGCGTAAATGCATATCCGCATAAACATATCTCTAAGTATACATACAAAGCAAACAAAGCTACTGTACTGTATATACAGTTATACTATCTCCCAAAGAGTTTTTTTCTACGTCGCAGTCGGCAGATACTTGATATTAAAGGACTGACTTTAGGATCTGGGACATGAAAAGCAATCAGGACATCCCTGCTTTTTTTTTTTTTTTTTTTCAACTTCTGTACAATAATAATATTTCCAAGGACTGAGCACAGCTTAAGCAGTCTGATAAAGCAAGGTCTGCATGATTGAAGCGCCAGCATTTCTTTGAAGTTTCTTGAGGGGACCTTTTTAATAGGACTCTGACTTGCAGTCTAACTTTGAATCGTGCTCCCCTGAAGGCAATTAACAGTTTGACCTGATTTCCTGTTCTTTGAAACTAAAGTTCAGGATGTGGTCAGGAATACCACAAACAATACAGACATCACCAAATAATTAGGAATTAATGAGAGCTGTATGTGCATAAAACTTGTAATTAGGGATTTCATGTGTGTGGATGGTGGGGTTTGTGTTAAAAATTCAGAAATCCCCCCTTTTTTTATATGTCATTAAAAACTGCAGGAATAGAGGAGAGATTAAAACGGTTCACATCCTGCCAGCTCTTGACATTTCAATTTTAGAGCATTAAGCTCACACACTTTTCTACAAGTTTAACAACACAAGTATCTTTAATTCCCAGATCACTAGTATTACAATCAACCCATACAAAAAAGAACAAGGGTCAGAGCACCAGCCCTACCATTATTACTGTTGCATTACACTGGCCACACAACACTAAACTGCACTGTGACAAGAAATAAAATAAGAGCCAAGGTGACAGATGGAAGGGATTTTGGAGCAATTAGAGTGAGTAGAGCAGAGAGGATATGATTCAGTTGGGAGGATGTGATATGAGGCAGTGAAAAGATTAGTTTTCAGCCTGCAGTAGAGCTGTGACACAGTTTTATTTGCAGGCACTGTGTTGTATTTTTTCTGTAGGGTTAATGTTTACCTAGCAGCTTTCTCTGCTCGCTGTCCTCAGTAACCTTGTGCTGCCCCTCCTCCTATCTGACCAGTTTGAGGCCTGTTGTTGCTTCACCTTGGAGCCAACTTAGAAATATCATTAGTCAAGGGAGACAGGAATAATAAACACATTTGCCACCCTCTCTCTCTCAGAAGTCCCAAGAGTATATACAACACATTGAAGGCATATTCTTCTTTTTAGTATCTAGTAACTAGTATTTGTTTTTCTTACTACAGTTTGCCTTTAATTATCTTAACTATTAACAGTGATCTTTCATATGTTTGATTCACTTGTAAATGCGTGGTTAATCAATAAAGACTAGTGATTACTTAGACAAATTTGAGGATGTACAGCTGTTTCCACCAGCCTGGGAATTTAGTCTCTTGTAAGTCTAATTTCTTTGTTCTTGTGTTTCAGCTGAAGGTGTGCCCCAGGTGTTTTACTTTGGACCCTGTGGGAAGTACAACGCAATGGTTCTGGAGTTGCTGGGCCCGAGTCTAGAGGACCTCTTTGACCTTTGTGACAGGACCTTTTCACTGAAGACCGTCTTAATGATAGCAATTCAGCTGGTGAGTTCAGAGCATTATATGACACATGAAATAGTTTTAAGATAAGTTCGTTTCACTTAATATATCTGATGAAATGACTGTAAATTCTTAAGTAATGTTAAAATTGCTTTAAGTGCTGTCTATTAAACAAGTAAAGCCCACGCTAAAAATAATTGTGAAATGTGCAGTTCCTCGGCATTGATTACACAATGTTTACCCACAGAAATGGTATTATTAGTCATTGTTTCGTTTGTTCTGATGAACTAATTTGCAAAGGTGATGGTGTAATGTGCTGTTAAAAAAAATATATAGTTCCTAGTAATATGTTTCGCAACAAAAGCCTTGCAAAGCTTTGATGTGAATCTGCCCCCTGAAACTGATGGAGGCACTTTGACCAAGACAAAAAAATTGAACACCTAGTCTACTGTCGTAATGTTGTTGCTGGAGCTTTCAAGTACATCTTTCTCAGCAGATGGGGTTTGCTCAGTTGACAACTCAACTATGCTGAGTTTGACAACTGAGCAGACCATGAGATGTGGTTGAAAGCCCTGGAAAAGGCTGGTAAATGGACCTAGAGTTCAGAGTGTTTTCTTAAATTGTTTTTTTTAAACTCAAGAATTAACTTTTGGGGGCACCCCACTAACTCACCTGGTAGACTGTGTGCCATGTATCAAGGCTGACTCTTTACCGCAGGAGCCGGGGTTCAATTCCACTGCCTATATAGCTGTTGTACAGTATTTTGTTTAAATAACATAAACACAATGCACCCAAAGTCCTGCTTACTGACCATAGGCCCATAGTGCAGGTGGGAAGGTGCGCTACCAGTGCACAGTCTCCCATTACACATTCTGCAAATTAGCAATCTGTCAGTATACATGTACCATTGGGCAATCTGGTAGGCTAGGAGCTGTCAAAAAGAGCAAAGCCATCACTGAATCTCATTAACTTTGAGCAGCTCAGAGGGTGGTTTGCCCAGTCTTTTAGGCGCCTCAGACATCTCAAAATTTCTAACATTTCATTTTGTCAGCACAAAATCTGCAGTGCTCTTGTAATGATAGCCTCTGCAAATTTGTAAGGAAACCTACAAAACAGCACAACATAAGCATGGTGTTGCAGAACAGAGAATTGCTAAACCCTGCATCTCAGCCAATCTCTTCTGTATTCATCACGTAGGTCTTCCTCTTTATTTTTTTGGCACAAATGAGTGATCCCATTGTTTGATTGTTTCAGGGTATCAGGATTCCTTAAGATCAAACCCAAGTGAAGGATCGTATTACTCATGCCATTACTTATTTTCCCATTGTGTCTGAGCTGTCATTCTTCCTTCCATTACAAATCTCTTCTTGGAAGGCAACAGCCATGAGCACTTGATTAAAATTACTTCTCTATAAACACATTGTCGTTCTGATCCTAATCGCTGGTGCTTTTCGTAGTCCTAAATCCCAGCAGAATGGTTTTGCATCTCTGTTGATGTTGAGCCAGAATTTCCAACCACTAATTGAGGCTTTTGTTGTGTGATAGTAATGGGGCACAGTGGTAGCTGTGCAGCATAGTGCTGAAACAATTAGTAAATTAATCATTAGTCAGTCAGCATAAATTAATTAAGGACTACAGTCAATATGTTGTAGTCGCAGCTATAAGTAATTGTAAAATTACTCAAAACGATTTATAATGATAACTGAAAATCATCATTAGTTGCAGTCGTAATGTATGGCTAGTATTACTCTCTGGTTGTGTGTTTTTGGTTGTATGATCCATTTATTTAAGCCTACCGTTATGTGTTTTAAATGGGTTTAAGCAGCATATAAGTATTGTACTTCCATGAGACTTGCAAGAGACGGATTAAAAAAAGAATTATCATGTTGCAGACTTCTAGTCCTGAGTATGGGTGAAACACTCAATCTAACATTTCCCATATTACAGCTCAGTTACATCCCTGACGAGTAAAGCGCAGTACTAACCATCACTAGTAAACTGACCTTCATATGTAATCATTGAAGTGCCCCTGTAATGTATAATAATGCTGAAGTCAATTACTCAGGAAATATTGTATTAAAATGCTCTTCAAAAGACTGATGTATTGCAACAGTCAACTTTCACTTAAAATGTCATTTTTGAGTAATTTTGACATCTTGATTCCCATTTTGCTGACTTTGTGATTTGATTATATCTGATTTGTGTCCATATTTCTGTTTGCTGAGTCCACTGTTTTCTTTCTCACCAGATTTCTCGAATGGAGTATGTACACTCTAAAAACCTCATCTATAGAGATGTAAAACCTGAAAACTTTCTCATCGGACGGCAAGGGAATAAAAAGGAACACATTATCCACATCATTGACTTTGGTCTGGCCAAAGAGTACATCGACCCCGAGACCAAAAAACACATTCCATACCGGGAGCATAAGAGCTTGACTGGCACTGCTCGATACATGTCCATCAATACACATTTAGGCAAAGGTAAGATTCATTTCATAGCTTTGGTTTTGTTCAATATTGTTCATAATGTTTATTATGTAATGTGTGTTTAGCACTTTATTCTTGATGTTTCTCAGTGAAATTGTATCAAATCTTTTGATGTAGAGCAAAGCCGGCGAGATGACCTGGAGGCCTTAGGCCACATGTTCATGTATTTCCTTCGTGGCAGTCTACCGTGGCAAGGACTAAAGGTATACCAAGTACATGGAAGAGTGTGTTACAAAATCTGTTTTATCCTATGCAGAAAAACAATCAATAAAATTGATTAAAATTGATTAAGTGATTTCATGACAGTCTGCAGCCTTGAAATCATAATCTGATAATCAGATCAGTATCATTGTTTTATTTGTAGTTATTTATGAAGAATTTTAAAATGTGTTCAATGTCAATTTTTTGTTAAAGTCCAAAATCTGTATAATTACAAGTGAGCAAATGCGTATGTTATTAGGGTTTTCTATAAGAAACAAACTGGAAATGAACCAGTTGTTAATTTGTATGTGAGTAGACAGTGCAGTCAGGATTTAAGATTGTCTGTTTTAAGAAACATATTAGGAATTTGTTTTCATATAACTATGATTTCTGTTTGGATTTTACAGGCCGACACGTTGAAAGAACGATACCAGAAGATCGGAGACACAAAACGAAACACTCCCATCGAGGTCCTCTGTGAGAACTTCCCAGGTGTGCTGATGATGGCTCTAATATACTTATGGATCAAGCTGTAAAGCTTGAAAATTCGATATTGTGCTGTGATTTGACCCGTTTATTTCCAAATAGTTGTTGAAATGTCCTCCTACAGCAGAGTTAGAGTCATAGTATCCATATTAAAGGTTAAACCAGTCCTCCTCTTTTTTGTGTGTGTAATTCAGAGGAGATGGCCACCTACCTGCGATATGTGAGACGGTTGGACTTCTTTGAAAAGCCTGACTATGAATATCTGAGGACTCTGTTCACTGAACTGTTTGAGCGAAAAGGATACACCTTTGATTACACTTACGACTGGGTTGGCAGGCAGATAGTAAGTAACACGTAACCTGTTAACAGATACGTTTTAAGTCTGTCAACAGTTTTTAGCAAGCTGCTTGACAGCCCAGCTTTTAACTAATTATTCTTCCCCTCAGCCCACACCAGTGGGGTCTGTTCATATAGACTCTGGTGCATCTGCTGTCACGAGAGAGAGCCATCCTCACAGAGACAGACCCTCACAGCACCCACCAATTAGAAATCAGGTACGCCGATTATGTTATAAAGTGAGTGTGTGTGTTTATGTGTTTATCAGGCTTTTGTTCCAGTGAAAGCAAGAAAAACAGTGTGTTAAATGTACAAGGCACACACATATGTACCACACCCCTGATACTGATGTCCATAAAGAGTTAGTCTCAGTGACCTTTAACCTGACCTGCAGATGAAGGAAACTCTAACACAACATCTTCAGCAACTCCGGATTCTTCCGTTATCAGGATCTTATATTATATTATTATGTTATAATGTGCATGCAGAGTTTCAAAGCTTATATAACAGCTATAATTTCTGATGGGATATATAGTATAAGTGTTAAGCATTTGTTTTTGTTTTTAAAGAAGGATGATTACAATAAGAGTCACATATGTCACCTGCATTGTAATCCAAGCAAAACAGATGAATGGTTTTCAAACAATTAATCCCAGTTCTCTCTATATTGGTGTGCAGTTTAATTATTGTGGGTGGACTGTTGAAGTATTACAGACCAGAAATTAAAATGAATTCTGCTGATTGGCAGCAACTCACGAAGATGATGACTGAGATAAAGCTTTATCATCATTCACTTAGTGTACTGCATTGACATGAGATACACTAAGAGATAGTTAAGGGAGGAATTATTTGATTCTTTTATCAGAACAGGTGAAACTTTTAGTGTGAAAAAAATGTGCTGAACTTGTCAGTGCAGGTGTTTCATTAATGGTATTACTGGCCAGCGTTTCCAAGGGATTGCATGTGTTTGTGGTTGCCTTAAATGCAAGTTTCAGAGCTATGGTGCAAATCCTTGCAAAGTTTCTATTTAAGGTTTGGGTGACCAAGTACCTTTGAACATTTCTACCAATTGAGGATTTTAAAAACTTTTTTCACTGCTGAATGTTCTTGTCATTTGGTTTTTATAAACAATTGTGCTTTGATTAGCTAGTTTGATAACAAAAAAAATGTTTTAAGAAGGTTAAAAACCTGTTCAATAAGTTAGGTGTATTTTTGTGTTAAGTGAAATGAGATCGAGGCCGAAGTTTTAGATGTAAGAGCTTACCTCCATTTGGCTTCAGGCTCATGTAGTTTCTGGTTCAGTTCTCTGGCTGAAGCCTTGCTTTGATTTGATTCACTCCTTTATTTTGTTACATTTTTTTTCTTCTCCATTTCTCATGCTGCTTTGCATGGTACCTGGCCTCGCACACCCAATTACCCATCTTTCCTAATGCAATTATTCCATCACCCCCCACCCCCACCTCCCCTCCCATCGCACCCCCAATCCCTCTTCCCCTCCCATCACCGATGCCCCACCCCCCCTCGACTCCTGAGCAGACAGCGGTCTCAGATCGACGAGGAGCATGGGAGGTGCAGCCCACACGCCAAGCAAACTCCTCCTATCTGACCTCCCACCTGGCAGCGGACAGGCACGGGGGCTCAGTGCAGGTATACACCCCTCACCTGATCAACCAACAGCCCCCACCTAATCTCTATGGAGTCAGATCTGTCTCATAGGATTGAATCCAAATTAATCCAAAAATTATAATATTTCAAGATTAAAATTTCAACAACAATTCTCAAGTGCATCACACTTAGTGAAATACTCAATCAGCTCAAAATATTTTGAACCAGCTTGCAATTTAAAAATTGAAAAACTGAAGCAAATTTTGCTTAATTTTGGTGGTATTTTTAATTTAAGGCTATTCTCATACACTTTCAGACATGCATTATACACTAGTATACTTTAATTTCATTCTCACCATATAAACATTTAGTTTTTGTTATTAACTGTGTGAAATTATGGCTTATAATTGTTCACTAATTAATGGTATTTCCTGAATGCTATTGATATTTGATATTACTCTTCTGGTTCACCACTGAATGTACAATAGCGTATAACAGACATTTTACCAGGACATGACATTTGTCTTGTGTGAGACAGATCTACAACCATATACCTCCCCCACCCCTTTACCCCTGGCTGGGAAATGTTATTTTTTCTGCACCACCATATGCATGTCATCTGGTGCCACCCACCCCAGATGGTGAAAATGTGGTTTAGCTTTATAAACAGCAGCCCAGGTTGTGGCATTTTGATCTCAGGTCCTACAACTCTTCATGGTGCTTGGACATTCCTTGCAAGATCAAGAAGCCTCTTGCATGGCAGGGTGACCTGGCTCATCCGTTTAAGTGCATGCTCTTAAGTCGTAAAGGGCCATTATGCTTTAAGGAACATCCTGGTGCAGTTTTGACAACTTGCCATTACCCTTGTCTGTAACAAGCTCTGTTTGCATAGGTGTGTACAGTGTAGGCTTTAGGTGATCTCTGGCTTTTCTGCTGAATGCCACTAACTGCCATTCATGTTGAAACGGTATAGAAATGTCATCAATGTAAAAACTGTTGTATGTTCACTTTATACGCGGGCCTTGCTTTTTTCCATTGGCAGAAATATGTCTCTCCAGCTCTGATTGGACTGTCACTGCAGGATGAGTTATGGAAAGGTGGAGAAACAGCTTCTGTGGGAGAATCGTATCCCTAGACCTAGACCTCTGAGTAGGGATGTGAAGGCCTCTGACTCTGTCCCTGCTCCTCCTGCTGTCTTAAGTTTTTTTCTTCGCAGGTTGCTTGCAAGAGACGTGCAAGCTATTTTGTCTTCCACCCGGCCAGGTTGGCCATAGGTTATTTAGGCTACTACTATTATTTTTTTATATACTATTTATTTATCTTTTGAAAGATGCACTGTTACTGTTCCATCTACCATCACATAGTTTTACCTGAAATTCTTTTAATATGTGTGGGGAGACCCAGAAAAAGACTGGAACACCAACTCTTGCTGGAGAAATAGCTGAAAATGAAGAAAACATATTCAAGCATAATACTGTAAGTCTAAAGAAAGCAAAGGTCTTTGTCATTCACATCACTTCAGTCAAACCCACAGATGGTGGTGATCTATATCAGTGGCTCACACAGACACTGTGGTCCACTGGCAGTAAGCACACAGAATAACTCACTCATAGTAGCTTCACTACCTCCAGCAATCATGTGACCCTCATCTTGCACCTCGTCTCCCCCTCCCCCCCATATCTGTGCGAAGTTGAATGGAGTATGGCAGTTTCAAAAACGAGTCATTTTAAACAATATTGTTTCCTGTGTCCGGCACCTTCATCTCCAGGAGACTTTTCTGCACTGTTTCAACATGAATGGAAGTGAATGGCTTTTGGTTGGCTGAGATCAACAAAGGTGTACACTGTATACACATTTTTTACAATAATTCTAATGCATTTTCTTCTACAGGTTAATGGGACAGCCACCAATTTGTGTGTTGGCTGGCCGTGTCTTTTTGTTGTGTGATGTCTGATTGTTCATCTGTGTCTTTACAATTTGAAGAAGTTTTGTTCTATGCTGGCCTATGAGCTGGATACGTAAACATTTTAAACGTACTGTACACTAAAGCTTCCCTTATTATACCTTCAAACATATTTGAGCTTGAAGTTTGGGCTATGTAATTTATGCTGATAGAAGTGGAGCTGCAGCAAACCTGCACTTAACCGAAACACCGCAGATTCCACATTTTTGCTGAAGTTATTATTGTCAGCTATGGTCACTGGCAAGAATTGTTGTCTGTACACAAGAAAAAAAAGAATTAGTTTAAGACAAAACCAACTTACCTCCAGCCAGACTATGTGATGAACAGAAGAAATTGAAAGAGTTAAGATAAAGATTTAGCTTTTAACTAAAATTGCTGCATCTTTTTTGCCATTTGGGACAAACTTTTTGCAAACAAATGTGCTTTAAACGCCTGCGCCAGTATTAAAGAGAGACACCCAGACACATATCAGTACATACTGATAGCAATCGCTCTGGAAAGTGCAAGCAAGAAAAAGTAGTTCATAAAACACGTACACGTTATTATGTACCTTTTGTGTTATTGACGTGTTGTTGTTTGCTTTGACATGTTTCCATGGAGGAAAGAGTAAAGGGAATTCACAGAAGGACATTGATTCTAGCCAACATCTTCACTGTTCTTGAAGTAACACCCGTCTGTGCCGCAGGTGGTCAGCTCGACCAACGGGGAGCTGAACGCAGACGATCCACTGGCAGTTCATTCCAATGCTCCGATCACAGCTCAGGCAGAGGTGGAAGTGGTCGACGAGGCCAAGTATGTGTCACACACCCGCCACACCACTCCTCCGTGTCCATCTGTCGCTTCCTCTCTTTCCTGCTCTGTCTCTCTCTCTCTCTCACTTTTTGCTATGCCGTGGAATTGTGACAGCCCCCCCACCCCTCCAGCTGTCATCCTGCTCCTGCCCCTCTTATCTTCTGTCTGACTGTGTGGGTTGTTGATCTTTACTGCTGCCTGTCTCTAAGCTATTCTCTCAACTGGTTTTTTATTTTTATTTTAAGAAAGAAAACTGGTGCGGATTAACTTCTCAGTCGGAGCTAATACAGCTTTTCATACCTGTTGCCTGAGCAGTCAACCACTAACATAGGTTACACTGGCAGCCACTGTCACTGTCACTTCACTGTCTCACAGCCTGGTCGTCTTAAACAAATACTCCACTGTTGATCAGCCCAATCATCGTGTCTTTAACAGTGCCAGTAATAAGGATGAGTGCAGAATCTCTCAGTGACTTGTGGTAGCAGCCATTTGAGATCACACCAGATTGTCCATGTGGTAACTTGGTCACATGCATATAGATTATGCCCATGATGTCGTTGTATGCAACTGTCCCTTTTCTTCTCTGCAAACATGGCGGGGAAACGTGGAAACCACTGTTGTTAACGTTTTGTTGTTGACAACAGTGGTTTCATTCAGTTCTTCTGGTGCTAGTCTTCAGCACCAGAAGCTGGAATGGTGCCACAATGAAAGGTTGGACGTCCACTGTGCAAAAACTGTGCTGCCAGCTGAATGTCACATGATTCAGCTGACTGAGAAGAACTGAGTGGAGATCTTCTGAGACACAACTTAGAGACATAAAGATATATTAATGGAGAAAATAAGTGCTTTGCAGGTAGAAAAATGAATATTACAGCAAACAGGCAGGTTTTTGCTTGATAAAAATACGTGGGACTGAAACTTAACTCCAAAATACAGAGATTTTGTTACAAGCTACAAAAGTATTGGGAGCTTCACACACCGAGATGCTTCGTCTCTAGTCGCCAGCACAACCACCTATGTTGTGCCATAATTTTATTTTAAGGCTTGACGTTGATAAATTGAGATCATCCTAATTTGGCCCAGCTTTGCTAGCAAGCAGAACAACAATAGGGCAGGGCAGCGAATTTACTCTGAGTTTGTGGTTGGAAAATGTATGTTTATGGTGCAGCTGACATTGGCATTGGAAAAACTCTGTTTGATGAATAAGTTATACTATAAAATTGTAGCTAAGTGAGCCTAGTTGGGGTTTTGTGTAGTGTAGCTGGTTGGCATCCCTGGTGGTGGTGTTCAATCTGAATGAATAATATTATTATGTGTAGTATGAATGCTACTTAACTTTGAGCATATAAATTATTTTTTTTCAACGGAAATTTGGTTTAGAAAAACACAGGAATTGGTAAATAAATGATTAAAACGGTGAAACATTTCTTTAATTATAGCAAGTGTATATATAATATAGTTTGTGTTCTATTAAATGGTATTTATTTACTATTTTTTTCCTGTATCCTAAAGTAGACATTGGATTTTATCCTGTAACACTGTAATACATTTATTACACTATATATCCCAATACATCTTAACATGAGAAGAGGTGTATTTTGCTTCAGTCCAGCTCCTTTAGTTATTGGGTTACATATTTGTATTGAAGGGATTAACCATCCTTCCCACCAGAATCCATCAAAGCCACTGTTAAAAATTATTCCCTTCTGCTATTATCCTCATGAATCTCCCAGAGGTTCATTCACTTTAATCTGTGCTTGTTTCTATTTCTGCCCAGACGACAGGCCTTCCTCCTTGTCTCCATTCACACAATTGTTTGATATGATGATTGGTGTGTTTGCAGCCAGTCTCTTTGATACCTCGTCAGACAAGTTGATGTTTGATATAAGAACATGAAGTAATGAATTCAAATAATACGTTTGATGCAATTCAACAATTATTATTTATTTTGCCTTTTGAGGGAATAACTGGTTTCCATGGTGAAACCATGCAACATGTATATTTGGCCCTTTCATCTTTTTATTTACATTCATGGGCTAAAATCTGCCTTTGAGTGCCAAACAATAAGAAATAATTTTCAGTTTGTGCAGGATCAGGTTCATCTTGTTCTGGATTTTGGTTTCCATCTGTGATGCTATAATGTACAGTTATTAAAATATATATAAATACATTTATGCATCTTCCAGCTATATATAGTAGTGTATATATATATATATAGTAGTAGCACTAAATTTTTTTTTGGTTCATTGACAACATTCTCATATATTTCTAAAATACAATAAATGAAACTTTCCCAGGGATAGAACAGGTAAAGTCCTGTGGCTGCTCTCTTCCTTGGTTTTTGTTTGGATTTTGTAGTTACTGTAATTTTTACATAGTTGTTTCTCTAAGAAGATAGAAGACTGAACTTTGAAAATGTGTTCTAAGATAAAACAGACATTTTCTTTCATAACTCAATTTGGACCAAAACTGTAGTTCCTGCGGTTTTGCTCTGTAGGGCAGCACATTTCACACAACATATTGATACTCATAACCAGAAATTCTGGGAGAAACACAGGATGAAATAGCTGTAGAGTAGATGTTCTGTAATCTTTTCTGCAATCTTTTCCCCTTTTAACCCTCTCAAACGTTCCCTATCTGTGTCCACCTGTGTCCTGTTGGTGTGTTTGTGTGCATGTTTGTGTTGCATGTGCCCAGGTCCATCATCTTGGTCTTGCTGTATTAATCTATCTTACTTTTCTCTTTACACTCTTTCCTCTTTCTTCTTCTGTAGCTGCGTGAAAATGCTCAACCTGTGGTGAGTCCCTCTCTGCTAGTCCACATCAGACTCATGGGACAGGGAGTGGACCAGCCTAGGCTGGGCCCAGTGGAGTTGTTATTTACAAATTTAAACTAGACTCTCACTGGTGCACTAGTGTCATATACCCCTGAGAACATTGTCTACTCTGTGTACTATCATTCTCTGCCCTTCTCTGATGCTTTTTTTAACCACCGCTGATGTTGAGAATTGATAGTAAACCATGCTGCCATGTGAGCAGCATACTAAGTTAACACTTGGGCACATAAGGGCAGAAAGAATAAACTTTGATTATAAGTTAACTAAATTGTCTCTTTTGTTGGCCCCTGTAATAATTATAAGAAATGTGATATCACTTTTTAGCAGCACATTTGGCTTCAGATTAAAGGTCTTTAAACTCTTGTTGCATGGTGCACCATTATTTGTTATTAATGAATTAATCTAAGAGTACCCAGTCACTGTCCTATGTCTTGATCCACAGCTTTTTTCTTGTCTCTGTATGTTTTTATTGACCACTCAAGCTCACCGTGTCTTGTGCTCTTTGTGTGCACTGCTCCATTTTTTGCATAGTCAATACTGCCTTCAGAGTCACTGCAGCAGTTTTTAGTCCCCTCTGCCATTTTTTTGGGAGGTGAATGAGCATGCAAACACTTGGTGGATGGCTATGCATCCATCTTGTCCTTGATGCTAACATTTGACTAATCAAACCTTTCGCCAGCTGCAGTTCTCACCATTATGATCCCCAAAAAACCTTTATCTGTCCAGATTTGGAAGACTCAAATTCAATTAAAGCTCTTGTGATATTTAACACACTAATTTTAAGAAGTCCGCTCATGTTTTGTTGTTTTGTTTACTGCATCTGAAGCCTCTCTCATCTACATTTCGATTTAATGTCTGTCTCTGTCTGCAGGTGCTGCTGTTTCTTCAAGCGAAAACGGAAGAAGAACACACCGAGGCACAAATGATCATCCACCGCCGGTCTGAAACGTTCCACGTGTCCGGCTCAGTTGATTTGTGATTTCAGAAATCAATAAGGTCCCATTCAGAAAACAAGAGGGAGACAACTGAAAGATCATGATTGAATTGTTCTTTGGAGGGACCAGTTAAAAATGGTTTGTTGAGATGTACAAGACGCTTGTGTCTTTTGATGGGAGTCCTTTTTTTTTATGTTTTTCCTCTTTTCCTTTTTTTTCTTCCTCCAACATCTGTGGGAATGTTTTGCAGGCCAGTCGTCCAAATGGGAAACCCTTTTGTTGGAATTGTGCAGAGGATAATCTTGTTTTGTTTTTTTTCTCCCCAAGACACCCAGCATTTGTATTTTTCTCTCCTCATTTTTGGCAATTTTTTTGCTCCCATTTCTCTTCTGTGGTATTGCAAAGGAAGAGACAGATCTTCCTGTGGAATCTTTGCCACCTTCAACTTGTTGCATAATGTGTCTGTTTGAGTCACAGAATCATATTTTCATTTGCCCTCTGTCGAGTCCCAGTTCAAAGTGGTTTGCCCATCGTTAGTTTGCTAACTCATTTTGACACAAAGCCCTTTTGGTCTTTCCTGTCGTGGGACTGAATGTAAACCTGAACACACGAGGAGCCAAGAGTGTAACTGCCTATCTTCACGTACAGGCACAAAGACCATCAGTCTGCCATTTGGCCCCTGCACTTTTTTCCTCCAAAGAGGTCAACCCTGGCACTGGGACCTGGGCCTGAGAGAACAGAAGACCAGAGACGCCTCCTGCACTGTGTTCTCTGAGGATGATTTCTGCTCACGCTGCTTGGTTAAAGCACTCCCCTTAACCACGCTGCTGTCAAAACACACTACAGTCTCTTTTGACTCTCATGCAGTTTTGCTCCTGTTGGCTTTGTGATGATGAGCAGCAACCTGACACTTATAGATGGGGCTGGGGAAAAAAAATGCTATTTATGCTATTTATCTCTTGGTTGCCACCAGTTTTCTTACTAATTCTAAAAACATACACACTGAATGTATGGACAGGAAAGTAAATGACTTTGGAGCATTTATATAATCTGTCATGCGCATGGGAAGGAAATTGCAGTTAAGGAGTTAAGACCAATGTTTAAAAAAGGAGGGGGAAAAAAAGTCCAAAATTAAGTGGATTTAGAGGGTGGGAGGGTCTTAAATGTTTTTGATCTTAATAATGTGATGGTTAATAATGGACTCTACACCAGTAGACACTGGGGGATGTTGCTTTGGAGTGACAAGAGAAACTGGCGTGATGTGCTTTGGAGATTGAATCACAGCCTCTCGACGCTACTGTCCAATGCCTTAACCCCCGCCCCCCCTCCCCTCAACCGACCGACCAGTCGACCACCACATCACATCACCAGTTGGATAAACAAGTAGGCAGCATGATGGTTGCGAGATTTGCAGCGCAATATTTGGGGTCACCTGTATAATAAAGCCCAAAGTTGCGGACTGTTCCCAGCTAGTATCAGAGCAGTTAATGAATTCCCTTGTAACACTGATGATGTATTCCTGAGAGAGCAATGCCAAATGTAAGGTTTGGTGTAATAATCTGTAATGGTGTTAAGATGTCCCTGCCCCTGCGTGACCCCCCCCCCTCGTGCTGCAATAGCGATGTTTTATGTTTGGACGGGTCTGCTGAAACCCTTTCGGTCCCTCTCCTCGACGCCGAGAGAGAAAACCTTAACGTCGGTGCGAGCGAGGGCGTATAAGTGAACATGTCCATACCATTTTTATTTTAATTTAGTGTCATGGAGGACTGCCTTGAAACAATATCCTCGATATGTCACCTTGCCTATCCTCCTAACAGAGTGAATTACCGTACATAGCTGTTTTATTTTTTTATTTTATATCTTGCTAATGTGAATTTTTTTAATGCAATTCTCTTTTTTTTTTTTTTTCTCCATTCCAAATAGCCATGGTTTTATGGGGAAAGAGAGGGTAACAAAAAAAGCTTGAGACCGTGACTGCACTACATTTGTTGACCCCGGCTTTCCCTGACAAGACCCTGCCTTTTTAATACTGTACTTTAAACGTGCTTATTACTTTAATTGTAGCTGCCTCGTGTGCTAGGCCTTCCCTATAGGGTGCAGGGAATACACTTTAAATTGATTTTCATCCCCGCCCGCTCCTTTTTTTTTTTGTGCCATGACACCCCACCCCCTTCCCTTTCTCTCTGCACACACACACACACACACCCACGCATGCACACACACCCACAGACACACACATTACAAGTCCTATATGAATCAGCTCTCAGTGGAGTGTTTGATTCTGCCGTTTTGTGGACTTGCTCAATCATCTTTAGAGATACAATGTTGTAGATGTTGCAAAACTAACTCGATGAATCAGTATGTAAACCTGCTTGTTGCGTGTATTTACACTGTATAGCTTTTGGTTTCTTCTTACCCCTGACATGTCAGTTACTCCGGGGTCTAAGTTATTGTGTTATTGAAAGTACTTGAATATGAAAATCTACGGGACCTTTTCTGTTTTTTTTATTTTTTATTTTTGTTCTTTTTTTTTCTTGGTCATTAACATAGTAATTCCACACATAGGATTTGAGGGGAATTGAGGGAAAACAGGCTGTTTGAATGACAGGTATTCATTTGTTTGAGATGTCTTAGTGCCTCTTGAGTGTGTTGGACAGGTGGAGTTTGAGAGACTCGCCTGTGGAGTCCTGTGCTAGCTGGTGTAAGTGAGAGAGATTCATTGTTTTTAACCCGGAAGAGGCGCAGTTAGATGTTGGTTTGTTGTCTACGTAAAAACATTTGCCATAATGTATTTAGATCTGGTGTCGGCCTTCGTTTGTTCAGACGCCAAACCTGTGACATCTGCTGCCTGTGATTCTCCCCACAAAGCATCAGCGGCATTCGGACTGTTTCATTCCAGCTACCTGAGAAAAGTTGAAAGTATTTCTGTGTTTGAGATGGATATCCAGACTATATAGCCTTTAATGTTCCCCCTGAATTCCCCGAGTGCCATTCCTGAGACTACTACTAGCCCATGCCTTTTACCTGTGCCAGGAAAATATGAAGTTGAATGTTTTTTGACCATCGCATTCCACCTTGTGTCCTTGACGTGTCCACTGTCATTTTGAGAAATCGCAGAGCAAAACGTCTCAGTTCAGTACCAGGAAGTGTTGTTGAAGATGTTTAAAGAGGGTCGGAATGGAAAAAAAAGTGTTTTATTTTTTTTTTATGAGTCGTTTCTGTTGGTTTCTTTCATGTTGTAAATCAAAAGAAACCAACACCATTTTATCGACCAAGTTTATTGAGTTCAATTTGTGACTGGTCATCTTTTAACATCGGCTTCTTCCTTAAACTGTGGGTCGCCTAGCTCTTAAGCTCATGGCTGAAATGGTAGATATAGATATATTACTCTGATGTATTTACTTTTTACTCTCTGGGCCTCATACAGAGTGATATAGGAGTACTCTGAATGCTTTGTATCTGCATGGCTTAGCTGGAGACGACAGCGAGCGGTCTCTCTCCAGTGAATTTTCTCACCTGTAGGGCTCATATATTGTTGGGTCAGTGAGACGTTATGGCTTCCAGTCCTCATGTAAAAAATAAATAACTTTTTCATGTCTTCTCACAGGACATTCCATTTCCGTTCCCGTTGTTTCTGATATACTTCACGTCATTCAGACTTGTGTTTATGGCTTTGGTTGTGTGTAACTCACATTCCTGTGTCAAAGCTGTGTAAATCAAAGCAAAGGACAGTTAAAGTGTGAATGAATGGCTTAGGTCTTTTTGGGTTCTCTGGCACTTTTTCCTTGTTGCTGTACTGTAGAATTGTCTTGGATTTACTGTATATTTTTCTTTGAGGGAGAGGTTTAGGGTGACATTTACTGCAATATTGTGATGTTTATTTGAAAATTGTAAATTGTACAGAGTTCACAATTATACTCTTTGTTCTTTCTGTTGGGATTCCATATAAAATATGTATTCTTTGATTATTTTTTTCCCTCTCAGACTGTAGAAAATCAAATTGTACAGCTCCAAGAGTTTATCCTCCCCTCAGCATTGTTTTTTTTTTTTTTTTTTTTCCAGAGCTATGATTAAGAGAAATCTTAAAACTGTAAATAAATATTATTGTGTTGAAATATGAATGTCACTTCAAAAATGTATTTGAATGAGTTAGTCAAGGGCTTCAAGAATGAAGGACCCACATTTCTTCTTTTTATGGTTTCATATTTTTAATTTACAGAAAGTTAAAGGTCCTTTTTATCTGAGATGCCTATTTTTTTTTTTTTTGGTTGTTTTTTTTCCTCCTCGGATTCATATAAAATGTTTCACACATGAACCTTATGAAATCACTTTTTATTCCCTCCACACCTAAAGGGAAACTCCAGTTTGCACCCTTTTTTATGTAAAATAAAAGATCTCTCCACCTTGTGGGAATGTCTTTTGTGAGATGATTTTGTACATTTTGTTGCAGATTGCTGTATAAATCCAGATAGTTTGTTAATGTTGGAGTAGATTTATACCCTCAGATTCCAAATCCATCACCGAACACTTGGTTGTGTTCATGGATGTGAAGTTGTCTCTTCCTTTTAGCTCAGTGCTTGTGTCGGGATTTCAGTCTGACCCCTCGGACCGTTGTCTGTTTTCAAATTAAATGAAAACTCTTGATTCTCATTGTGTGGTCACAGTATATAAATCGGGAAGAGGAGGTGACTTTGTTTTTTGTCTGTGTGTATATGGAGTTGATGATAACGTGATTTTTCTGTCTTCCCTTTTATTAGGAATACACATGGATTTTTTAAATATATAAACAAGGTTACAAAGTGCCTGACAAAATAAATGAGATAAAAACAAACAAAGATAAAAATATAAGCAATCATAGCCTACAAAACAGTTAAAATATGAGAATAAAAGAAAACACAGCAACATCAAGAATTACAAGTCAGGCGTCCTGTAAAAGCTCTCCAGCTTTAAACAATGATTATTAAAGCAGGTGATGTGCCGACACACCTAGTCTCCTCGGACAGGGAACTCCAGAGCCCAGGGGCCCTGACGGCAAAAGCCCTGTTACCCTTAGTCACCAACCGTGATCTAGGGACGGCTGACGAGGCTTGAGGATCTCAGATTGTGAGTGTTGGGAGTTAAAGAGCTCTGTGGTGTAACTGGGGGCTGACTTCAAAAGTTATTAAAAGAATTTAATAATCAACCCTGAACTGAACTGGTAACCAACGAAGGGAGGTGAGAATTGGAGTTATATGGGACATACGAGTGGTGTTTGTTAAAATTCAAACTGCATATATGTGCTACATAGATGAAGATCATAAAAAGAACACATTGAAATGTGATTACATAAATAAAAGAGGTACAAATACGTGATTAAAAAACATTTAGTCAGAGGTTTTGGGGGAAAAATCTGAATTTAGAAATACTTTTTTTTGCTCACATGATGTTAAAGAATATAAATACTATTATATTACAATATCTAACACAATAGAAAATATATAAATAGGTATATACATATAAGTAAAAATATAGTATGAGCGTAAGTATGTACCTTTTAATACAATAGCCTATATATACAATATATGACAGTATAGACAAAAGTAAATGTATGCCACAGTATGTGATTGGCAGTAACTAAATGAGTTTTAAAGATTGTAGTATTACAGAAGTTCTAAATTATTTCAAAGAATAAGATAAGATATTCCTTTATTGATCCCCTGTGGGAGTTTCATACATTTCCCTAAGTACAGAGAGTAAAAAAATACAATAAAGAATAATAAAATAAAAATATAACAAAGATATAAAAGAAAATATTAAGACTATAATGAAAATATATGCAGTATAGAAATGTGGTGTGCAAAAATATTTAAACAGTACATGTACAGTTATTGCAGGGTAAGTTTGTGCAAAGAAGTTATGCATAGAATCAGAAGCTTAATACTTCTATGTTGTTGTTGTTGTTGTTGTTGTTGTTGTTGTTTGGTAAAATGAGTGATTTAAGTCAACAAATGTGAACACTATTAATACTCACCGTGTTATTTCGTCCCTGCACTTCTCACCTCCCACCGCTAGTGGTCGCTGTTTCACCGCGGTGGGGGGAGGAGGAGGAAGGAGGGCGCCAGCGGCGGTTGTAAGCTATAACCTTCCTGTATGAACATCCGGTGCCTCTCTTCCACCGGTCCGAGTCAACATGGTGGGTAACACAACAGAAACACTCCTCCTCCAGCCCTCACAATCCTCTTCAATCCTCACCGTGTGTCTGCCCACCCGGCGGTTTACACCACCAGTCCGAACACAAACGGCTCAGAGATTCATAAACGCCGGGTTTCGATGCTCTTCCGTGGGGTTAAAATACATGTTATTACGGGCTGAATGCTCCGGTGTCCGCTGGCCGACAGACGGTCACCGGTACTCGTGTATTTACACCGAATAACAACCTCTGTTTGTGATTTAATTCTCTTTTTAAAGAAGCTTTTAAAATCTCCCTCCACTTTGTTGTTAAGGAGGAAAGCGACGTCTTAATAACGGCCCGTTAAAAGCCGTTAGTGTTTTAATGTCTGTCTGAAATACATTATTTTATTGATTTATCACCTCAATAACCAGTTAACTGAAGTACTTTTAATCACATTTTGTCTCAATTTATCTGAACTAGGTATTAAATATCGGTGCTGTGATTTCCTGGTCATGCAGACTTCGTATTTATAGGTCAAGCGTTACTGTGCGTGCTTTTATTTTGTAATATTCATTGATTTAAATGGCTTTTAATTTGCATCCTAGTTAACTTTTAAGCTCTTAATGAAACAGTGCAGGTTCACTGGTGATCAACACTGCGGTAAAATGCCCTCTGCAGTGTGTGTGTGTGCAGGGATTTCATGTTCAGGAGGGTCTGAGGAAGTTTATTGATTTGGTATAAATAAATAGAAATGTGCCACTCTTGATTACAGGTTTATGTTTACAGTGGTGAACTCAATATATATATATCTGTACCCAGAGCTGTGCAGCTGTACTCATTTCTAAGAGCTATTGCTGAATGATTTTTGTAAAATATCCCAAAATATTTCCACTAGTCAACTCCATGTGGTTTCCCCTCAACACTTCCACATCCCTCTGGTTGTATTGGTGGTTTGTTTTGAACTCTATTTCTGTCTCTGTTGTCGTTGCTCTTCAGGGGCGCGTCAGGACCAAGACCGTCAAGAAGGCCGCCAGGGTCATCATTGAGAAATACTACACCCGCCTGGGCAGCGACTTCCACACCAACAAGAGGGTGTGCGAGGAGATCGCCATTATCCCCAGCAAGCCTCTGCGCAACAAAATTGCAGGGTACGTTGGATTTTGCTGCTGTTTTTGTGTGTTTGTTTACAGTTTGATCAGTTGAATGTTGTTTTCTAGGCTGGTTCACCTTTTTATGTTCACCTCAAATGTGATGGAAGTGCTCTTGAGTAGCTGCAGCATTAAGCAGGGCTGTATTGCATGATGGGATGTGTTATTCTGGAGGACTTTTAACATGGTGTTTCACTGAGCGTGTATTTATGTGGATGCCAGTGCTGTGGCTACAGTAAGTTATTATGTAAAGGCAATTCTTTGGTTAATCTTATGTACTTAATCTCATAACCTGGTTAAAAATATGAATCTGATCGTCGTAGCAGTAGGAGAGCAGCAGTCTCTTGATAAAATGGCTTTGTAGCAATAATGATGGAAGTGTTTGTTTGTTTTTTTTATGGGTTTCTGACATGTAAATTATACATAATTCTGTCTATATGTATCTACCTCATCTCCTTCGCAGCCAGGGGTGAAATTTATCGGAGGAAATCTTTTCCTGGATTCAGTTTCATATGGTATATGAGAATAAGGGGCTCCTGTGGTTTCTTTTAGTAACTATAACATCCTCTATAGCAGTCACTGATGCTTGTGTAAAAGCTGCAAGGTGTGTTTATGTTAATATCACTGCATCAAAATAATGAGCCATAAACTATGTGTTAACTGTGTTCTGCTCACTCTGATAATGACCTGAGTTTAAGATAGTGTGTGTGAGTGTGTTGTGTGTGTGTGTGTGTGTGTGTGTGTGTGTGTGTGTAGGCATACATGTTCTCCTTTCTGTAGCCTCGGGCCTTCAGCGTTGTTAGAATGAAGACTCTCAATCTACTGTTTGTGGTCGGTGGAAGTGAGTGCAGAGAAATTTCACGGTGCGTCAGCAGGCAGTATATTTCCTCAGAGACGAGACTGCCGAAGTGCCCTGCAGCTGTTCATCTAAATTAAACATTTCACCCCACTTTAATGGAGTTATTCTTGGAATGGAAGAGGTTTTTTTTTTTTTCTGTTGAGAAACTACATTTAATTGGTGCTTGTGCTGAAGAAACAGAGACGCTGGCCTCTCGTTTTGCTGCAGTTATTAATGTGTTTTGGTTCTTAAAGCTCCCACGCTGTGTGGACCACAATTTACAATATTGTGCTTGTTCTGGAGGTCAGTCATGTGCATCCTCAGCAGACATTAAATGTGCTGTACTGAGCTGTTTTGGGTTTCTACGTACACTCACACTGCGGCTTACCACAAAGTGATTGTTGTGGCTCAGTTGATTGATTTTTGTTGTCGTTTTAAAATAGGTTTTGGCTAATTGATGGTTTTAATTATATTAAGTGATATTATCTTCAGGGAATGTTTCAATGCTGCAACTAACAGTGCAAAATATTTCTGTATTTATTTAGAATGAAATGTTGACAAATGCTCATCACAAATTACCAAATGTCTAAAAATTGCTAATAAAACTGAGAAAAATTGGCATTTTATAATTAATAATCCGTAACAATCTTATTTTTTTGCTTGCTACAATCATTAGATTAACAACAATCAACTAATGTATGCAGGGACTCTATAACTGTATAGTCCTTATACTGGTATAATAATCATGTGTTCCTGTCTCTCAGGTATGTGACACACCTGATGAAACGTATTCAGCGTGGTCCAGTCAGAGGAATCTCCATCAAGCTGCAGGAGGAGGAGAGAGAGAGGAGGGACAACTACGTCCCAGAGGTCTGTTCACTCTTTTTTCTTTCTCTGCAACTGTTTGATGAAGCAAGACATTTGTTGCTTTGGTTTAGAGACTCAAATACATCTTTCAGTTTTATTCTGTGCTCTGGTTGTTTGATAAATCATTTAACAAAACAGCTCTTTGGTGTAACTGACAGAGACAGCTGAACACCCTTTTAACTTGCCGGTTGTTGCTGTATCTTCATCCTCCAGATTTCTGCTCTGGACCAGGAGCTCATCGAGGTGGACCCAGACACAAAGGAAATGCTCAAGATGCTCGTAAGTGTGAAACATATTTCTCCTGTTTTTGTTGTTGACACACAGTCTGAGTCTAATTTATTGAGCTCATTTAAAGACTGTTGATCAAAGTGCTTTACAAAGGTGATTAGGTACATTCAGATAA